TTCAAAGAAGTGAGAAAGTATTGTCTTAATGTGTTCGACAGTATGAAAAAAGCAAGTTGCTGGACACGATGTTCAGTATGAAAAGACATATTCATGTGCATAGGCCACTTCTGGAAAGATATATTGGAAATTATTAATAGTGGTTACTCCTGGGAAGTGGGACTGGGTTGGACAGAAGAGAGAAATTCCTTTTCACTCTGTATCCTTTTGTGCTATTGGAATTGTTTCGTGCATTTGAACAAAAGAGGAGAAACAATGATTAATTCCTTTTTTCTCCTGGCTTTTAATTCCAGTTTCAGCCTCTTCTATGCTATATAAGAGTGGCTGCATCTTAAAAGCTTTTAATGCCTTTTAGAAACTTTGGGCCATGGGCGCCTAGGTGGCTCAGTTAAGCGTCTGCCTTCTGCTCAGGTCATGAGTCCCGCATCAGGCTCCCTGCTCTGTGGGAAGCCTGCTTCTCCCTCTCCCTCTGCCTGCCGCTCTCCCTGCTTGTGTGCGCGCTCTCTCTCTCTGTCAAATAAATAAAATCTTTAAAAAAAACAAAAACAAAAAACTTTGGGCCAGTTGATGAACTGAAACAGTCCTTTTCACCATGTTACCTACTTTGCACGTCATTGCAGTACATTATCAAGTAGTCCTATTTCAGCGGGTTTAGTTTTACCCACCAAAAACTGCTGTCATTTTTAGGAAGTCCTATCCTTATGTCATGTTGTGAGTAAATCGGAGTTGTTGGAATACACATGGATTTGTTCCTGGAAGGAAAACCGAGAAAGCACGGCCAAATATAATGATTGATGAATTGTTTAACACTTGGAATACCGTATTTCATTGACTCATATTTATTTGGCATTCTGAGGTCTCTGAAACTGAGATGCTCCTTACATTTACTACCTCCAAGTAGCAGAGGTGATGTACTTAATCATTGTCTGCACATGTATGGGCTTGGTCAGGGCTGTTCCTACTGTCATGACAGTTGAGTTATATGTACTGTTGGTACCACATGTTAGTTTACTTTTCGCTTTAAAAGATCGCACTGATTCAACGCTTAAGTGGGAAAAAAAAACCGGATGAAGAAAGGCATAGAAACAGAACAGTAGGGTATAAATTTGATTTTATGTGAGGCAAAATATCTGTCACTGGAGGAATGAGCACAGCTTCATATTTTCTTGCAAAGCTACAATCAAGTGTTTTATGGGACCTAAGAAAGGAAGACAGCCTAGGTATATTAGGTTTTGTCACTGAGAAACATGCAAAAGATGTCACATGCTGGGCAGTGCACCTGGAAACAGGGAAACCCGATGTGGTTCTCAACATAAATAAGGAATTTTTAGAGCTGCAGGAAGCTGGTGTGACCAATTCATGGGTCTCCTAGGACCGTCATGAAGGCATCCTGTCCTAGTTTAAGTGGGCAACCGTTTTTCTCCTTAGTGGCGCGTAAAATAAGTGTGCTTCTTATAACGAATGGCCCCTTAGATTCAGTCAGAAATAGAATTTACCTCCGATACAGCCCTTTCCTGACGGTGACTACTTTGGAACTGACCGTACCACGACGTAATCACAGTCGTGATTGTGATCACAGGGATCTTGGGAAGCTGCAGAGACCCAGGTCACAATACAGGAACAAAATAATTGCCTGGTTTTGCACAAAATAGGTATTCTTGCCTGTTTTCCTGGTCTTCTCAGAGACAGCCCGGCATAGAGCGCAGACTCTGGAGGCAGGCAGCCCTTCACTAGCAATAACCTTGTGTAAGTGCCGTGACCTCCCCGTGCCTGCTCTCTGTCACACGGGCCTAGCACCTATCCCAGCTTTGTTACAAAGGCGAAATTAGTTAAATTAGTTAATACAAATGGGTGTTTATAACAATACCTGGCTGAAAGCAAGCAGCGTATGTTAGCTGCTATTTTTGACTGGCATTATTTTCTGTGAACCCTAAGTGTCAGTTGGTACACAGAGTAGTTTGAGGTGAGGGTGTGATTGTCAATCCTGTTGCTACCTTGTTGGTTCCAGTTTAGGGCTAATAACACTGCTCACTTCCTCCTCCCAATTACAGACAGTCCCTGACTTACGATCGTTCGACTCTACAATGGTGTGGGAGTGATACACATCCAGTAGAAACCATACCCTGCATTTAAAATTTTGATCTTTTTCCCAGGCTAGCACTATGCGACATGCCCCTCTCTCTGGTGACACTGGGCAGGGCCAGTCAGCCACTCGATCTCGGGGGTCAGCTCGATCTCGGGGGTCAGCAACCAGTCAGCCACTCGATCTCGGGGGTCAGCAGCCAGTCAGCCACTCGATCTTGGGGGTCAGCTCGATCTCGGGGGTCAGCAACCAGTCAGCCACTCGATCTCAGGGGTCAGCAACCAGTCAGCCACTCAATCTCGGGGGTCAGCAACCAGTCAGCCACTCGATCTTGGGGGTCAGCAACCAGTACACTTACAAACCTGCACCCCTACAGCCGTTCCGGTTTTCACTTTCAGAACAGTAGTCGGTACATCTCATGAGATACTCAACACTTTATTATCAAATAGGCTTTGTGTTGGATGCCTTTCTCCCACTGCAGGCTAATGTAAGTGTTCTGAGCACATCTAAGGTCAGCTCGGTGAGCTATAATGTTTGGGAGGTTAGGTGTAGTAAGTGCATTTTCCACTTAATGACATTTTCTGCTTACAGTGGGTTTACTGGCATGGGACCCCACCATACGTGGAGGAAGGTCTATTATCCCACCCTTTTGGGGGCATATTGATTTTGATTTTTTAGAATATTGCGTATGATTGAGATACATAGATTCACACACTTTTGTACAGTAAAATAAAATGGAATTAGAATTCGTTTGGGGAAGAAAAACCTTCTTATTTTTATTGTTTATTTTTTAAAGTTTGTTTTTATTCTTTTTAGAGAGAGCGCGCACAGAGGGAGAGTCTCAGGCAGACCCCGTGCTGAGCACAAAACATGACTTGAGGCTCGATCTCATGACCCTGAGATCATGACCTGAGCTGAAATCAAGAGTGAGATGCTTAACTGACTGAGCCATCCTGGTGCCCCCCAAAAAACCTTTTTAATACATTATTCTTTTAAAAATCCCATGCTCGGGCGCCTGGGTGGCTCAGTCGTTAAGCGTCTGCCTTCGGCTCAGGTCATGATCCCAGGGTCCTGGGATCGAGTCCCGCATCGGGCTCCCTGCTTGGCAGGAAGCCTGCTTCTCCCTCTCCCACTCCCCCTGCTTGTGTTCCTGCTCTCGCTATCTCTCTGTTAAATAAATAAATAAAATCTTTAAAAAAAATAATAATAAAATAAAATAAAAATCCCATGCTTGTGTTTCCAGCATTAGCCAAGGCTAAATCTGGACAGCTTTTAGTCTGATAGCACTCTCCCAGTATACAGGCAATGACTGCCTCTGACAAGACTCATAGCCTCCAAGACTGCTGGTCTCAGCAGGGTCGGGTTCCATTTCTAGCCTATGACCGTGGCCCATGACTAAAGCAGCAGGGCTGTTGATGCTTTTCTGAGCACTGTGCAGGGCTGTTTCAGTTAGTTATTTCTAGTTGTGTGATATTTAAGTGTTGCATTGGGCCCTCAGCTGTTGAAAAACATAGGATACTATTTCTGTTACAGCTGACGGTGAACATAGACTGCCTCTTGGAGACATATTACTAACTGAAGGATAGTTGATGGGAATCACCAAGTATTGAATTGAGGCTTAATTCTAGAATAACCTTAGGAATGATTTCCTCTCGCTGAATTAAATTTGAACTATTTCGTTTTCTTCCTTTTTTTTTTTTTTTTAAGATTTTATTTATCTATTTGAGAACGAGAGCACAAGTAGAGGGAGAGGGAGAAGCAGGTTCCCTAGGGAGCCCAACAGGCTCCATCCCAGGACCCCGAGATCATGACCTGAGCTGAAGGCAGATGCTTAACTCACTGAGCCACCCAGGTGCCCCAGAACTATTTCGTTTTCAATAATCATCTAAAATAATTGGGCCAACCAGTTCTTTATATTGAGCTTGCTTGTAAAAATTAGGTGTTTTGTGTCAACTTTTGTCTTTGTGCAAAACAAGGTAAAATGTTCCAGTGAAGACTTGAAAGCTGCAAAGGGGTTATAAACTGAGCTTGTGGTGGCTGAAAGCTAACAAGATAGGTTTTTCCATGATTTCGATTAATGACGGGAAAGCATTCCACAGTTTATTCCCTCTGGGATTTTATGTATAATTCAGAAAATCTTAGTTTTGTCTATACTTCTTTTTAAGCAATCAAATCCGTAGTTTTAAATATGATGTTGGTGGTATCATTTGTTAATTACATGATTAGAAATTTATTGTCAGTGAAAAATGACACACAAAAAAGGCATGTGCAGTGAAGCTTAAAATAGCACATCTTCACATCCATGCAAATTCCCTGGACTCCTTTTATGACCTAGTTATGTATTACTCACAGAAAGAAAAACCTCAGGCACTTTCAGCTACTCCGAGAGCTAGATATTACATTTAAATGTTTTATATACTTAATAGTTTTATTGTTTACTCATAATTTTTCCACAAGTACCAAAAGCATTTTTCATGATTAAGCTTTTAAAAGAGTAATAGATTTGGCATTTTTATTTTATCTTATTTATTTTTAAAGATTTTATTTGTTTATTTGTAAGAGCACAGAACCGCAGTTAGGGGACTGGGGGGTAGAGGGAGAGAGAATCCCAAGCAGACTGCGCCGAGTGTGGAGCCTGCCTCAGGGGCTTGATCCCACGACCCCGAGATCATGACCCAAGCTGAAACCAAGAGCCAGAGGCTTAACCAACTGAGCCACTCAGGTGCCCCAAGATTTGGCATTTTAGAATGTGTCTTGACAGTCAGTACCTTCTTGTTCGGAGCTTTTCGATTCCTTAAAGTAAAATACACAAGTCTCAAACATGATTATCCAGGTTACTTGTACTTAAATTCTTTAAACGTATCCAGCTTTACTTTGTGACTGACCTGTGTTTTTTTTTTTTGTTTCTCAAATATAGAGCTGCCAAATGCTGTTAAACCAACTAAGAGAAATCACAGGCATTCAGGACCCTTCCTTTCTTCATGAAGCTCTGAAGGTTAGTTTCAAGGCCACTGTTAGTCAACAGGCTTTAAAACAGTTGTCCATATCATAGTTATGTCAGATCAAGCTATTTTTATGCCAAAATGAAAGTGCATATAGGGACAGGAGCTCTATGGGTCAGATGACCTAGTATCATCAATGGCCCAATAAGGTGGGGGAGAAGTTGGGGATGGGGAGCGACTCAACTGGGGGGGACCCTGCAGGGCAGAAGAGATTTAAGAAATGCATCAGCCAATTGCATTGTATAGCCTTTATGTGGCTTCTGACTCAAACACACACACACTAAAAAATCTTTGAGTCAGGCAAGTTTGAACTGGTGATTTGATATTAAAACACTTGTTACTATTAAGGTGTGATAATAACATTGTGGGTTATATTTTTACGTTTTCATGTACTGATAAGATGCTTAGGATTTGTTTCAAAATGTCTGGGAGAGGTTAGGCAGAATAGATAAGATTGAGCCTAACTTGATATTTGTTGAAGGTGAGTGGTGGGTGCCTGGGGTTCAGCTATACATTCCCTCTGCCTCTACCATTGTAAATGTTAGAAAGTTTTCCTAATAAAAAGTTAAAAACAAATAGGGGCGCCTGGGTGGCTCAGTTGGTTAAGCGACTGCCTTCGGCTCAGGTCATGATCCTGGAGTCCTGGGATCGAGTCCCGCATCGGGCTCCCTGCTCAGCAGGGGGTCTGCTTCTCCGTCTGCCCTCTTCCCTCTCATGCTGTTTCTCTCTCGCTCGCTCTCTAAAAAATAAATAAAATCTTTAAGAAAAAAAAAAAAGTTAAAAACAAATAGAAATGTGATCACCACTATAGAATATGGTAACTGCTTGGCATGTTTGCTGTAGGGGCCGACTTCATTTAGAATCTCTGTTTTCATTGCCAGCCCCCTTTTGACACATCATGCCTTAGCTAATGTGTGAAATCGGAGTAGTAGCATCCGGAGCTACTGAGACCAGATCTCAGCAAGATTTCATTCTTGTTTGCGTGGGGTGGGAAGTCAGAACATGGCGGCTCCCCTCCTGCAAACCAGGAGTTTGATAGATGCTTTGAGCATGGTGCACTCGCTATCCTCCACCATACTGTCTTTCTTCTACTTTCTACCCTAGAATTATGCCCTGACTTACTCAGAATGTCGCTGAGGTAGTAAGGAGTTAAACCAAAAAACTAACTCACTATTTTAAATGCTGTGATGCTTTACTTTTGAAATTTCTGGGGTTTTTTTTTTTCCCCTTTCTTTAGGCCAGTAATGGTGACATCACCCAGGCAGTCAGCCTTCTCACCGAGGAAAGAGTTAAAGAGCCCAGTCAAGACACTGTTGCTACAGAACCATCTGAAGTAGAGGGCAGCGCTGCCAACAAAGAAGTTTTAGCAAGTAAGCATATGCTGTCTTGGTCCTGCTGTGAACTAGCAGAAAATACGTGCGTTTCCTATCAGTCACATCAACCCTTTTGGAATAGTGCTAATCATAGCGAATTATTGAACCATCACTATGTGCCAGGCCTAATTCTAAGCAATTACATGAATTTATTCATTCATTCATTCATTCATTCATTCATTCATTCATTCATTCATTCTGCATTTATTTAATGAGCACCTACTATGTGCCAAGCACTCTTTTAAACACTGGAAATAAACAGAATTCTTGCCTTCATGTAGCTTACTTTCTTGTGGGGGAGATCACTAAATCGATGAGTAAATTATATGGCATATTAGAATGATAAGTACCATGGAGAAAAGTAAAGGATGGAATGAAAGAAATGAAAAAAGTAGCGGCGGGGATTGGATTTTTACTAGCGGGGCCTTCTGATAAGGTGAAAGGGAGCTGAAGGAGTCAGTGAGGTCTTAAGACAGGGATGTATACCACCTGCTCAAGGACAGCAAGGAGGCGGGAGCTGAGGCTTTAGCGGGTGAGAGGTGAGGCCGTGGAGGGACCAGGAGGCAGGTCCTGCAGAGACTTCTGCGTGCTTGGCTTTTCCTCTAGCTAGAGGCTAGCCAGCGGAGAGCTTGGAGCAGAGGAATGACGTCCACTGGTTTCCATTTCCTAAAGGTCATTCGGACGGCTCTGCTGAGAACAGAATTGCAGGGGGAGGTAATGAGCATGGGTCAGAGCAGGGAGCCCCGGACAGTCAGGACGCTTTGCAGGGTCTGGCGGTGTGGCCTAGCAGGTAGTGGTGGGAGGGTGAGGAGTAAGAAAATCCTAGTGGGATATTCTTACAGCAGATATAAGGGGTGTGAAAGAGAGGACTTAAAGGCAGCTCCAGGTTTTTTCCTGAGCAGCGAAAATGCTGGAGTTGCACTAAGCACCCTGGGAATGGCTGCCGCTAGAGCAGATCTGGGTGGCAGATGAAGGAAATGCTGTTTGAGGCACCTGCAAGACATCAGGTGGAGTGTCGCAAAGGCAGTGAGGATCCAAGCATGAGGCTCCGGGGAGAGATCCGGTTGCAGAGAGAGAAAACTTGGAATCGTAAACCTGTGAATGGATGTGAAGTTAGGGGACCAGGTGAGCTTTCCAAGGAGTTGGGGTGCACGGAAGGGAACAGGTTCAGTGACTAAGCGGTGGATACTCCCAGTGCTTAGAGGCCAGGGCCGGTGAACAGTGTCCAGGGACATTGGAAGAAGACCAGGAGAGCTGGGAGAATGGGACTCTGGAAGCCAAGGAGGCTTCCTGGAAGAGGGAGCCATCAGCTAGGGCAGATGGAGTTAATGGATATTTGGACTTTTTGCAGTTTTGAGCTATTCTGAATAATGCTGTTAGGAATATCCATATCCTTGTATATCTCTTTCAGTGCAATAATGACTCTTCAGTCAATGTTTTTCTTTTTTTTAGAGAGAGAGCACGTGCATGTGCATGCGCCTGCACCGGGGGGAGGGGCAGAGGGAGAGAGAGAGAGAGAGAGAGAGAGAGAGAGAGAGAATCCCAAGCAGACTCCGCACTGAGTGTAGCGCCTGATGTGGGGCTTGATCTCACGACCCTGAGATCATGACCTGAGCCAAAATCAAGAGTTAGACACTGCCCCAACGTTTTTCTTTTTTAAAGAAGTCAGGTGCCCTAACGTTTTTCTTTTTAAAATTCATTCCTGTTGAAGGTTATAAATAGTTCCTTTACTTTGACTGGTGTATAGTATTTCATGGTCTGAATATACCACAATTTATGTATTTGTTTATTGACTTGGGTTTGTTTCCATTTTTATTTATTTATTTTTTTGCTATTATAAAAAAGGCTGCTGTGAGTTGTTTGATTTGTGTTTCTATTACACGTATGCAAGAGTTTCTTTAGTGTGTATACCTAGGAGTGTAATTGGTGGGTGGTAAAATACGCTCGTCTTCAGTTTTATAGGCAATATTCTCCAAAATGATTTTTTAACTATTTATTAAATTCCCAGTCACAGGATTTGGGGATAACTGTTGCTCTCAAACTTGTTAGAGTATAAAATCATTGCCCATATTTTTGATAAAAAATACCAAAATACCTTGTTTTCAGTGAGAATTTTTTTACATTGGTAATGAGATTGAACATCTTTTTCTTTTTGACCATTAATGTTTCCTTATAAGTGAAATTTCTCTTTATGTCTTCTGCCTCAATTTTTCTGTTTGTTTGCTTTTTTCTGATTGATTCCTGATATTATCTTGTTGATAATAAGCTTATTCTCGATACATTTCTTGATACTGACCTTATGTATATTTGGTATTGACCCCCTCTTTTGGATTTGTGTGTTGCAGACATCTTTTCCGTATTGGTGACTTGTGTTTTCACACTATGGTGATGAACTAAATAGCCAAATTTTATTGTAGTTGCATTTATTGGTCTTTTTCTGTGATTTGTGTTTTTTGTTTAAGAACTCCTTCTATACCTTGATTGAAGTCATAGGATTTTAAAATCCTGATGTTTTGCTCTTCACATTCTTTAATTCATCTGAAGTGGATTTTGGGGGAAGGGGCAAGGCATAAGGTAAGATACAGTTCGATTCCTTGCCACCCTCCGGCCCGATACAGCTACGCAGTTGTCCTAGTATTAAAGGGTACTTTTATTAAAAAGGCTTTACTTACCCACTGATCTGCAGTATTAGCTCTGTGTTATATTGGATTTTCATGTTTCCCATTCTATTTCACTAAGTATCTGTTTTTAATTCTTTAGGATATATACCCATGAGTGGAATTACTGGGTCGTGTGTTTAACTTTCTTGGGTTTTTTTTGTTTCGTTTGTTGTGGTTTTTTTAGATTTTATTTATATATTTGAGAGAGAGAGCACACATGCGTGCTTGTGCACAAGTTGGGGGGGGAGGAGCAGAGGGAGAGGGAGAAGTAGACACCCCACTGAGCAGGGAGCCCAATGTGGGGCTCCATACAAGGACCCTGGGATCATGACCTGAGCCGAAGGCAGATGCCTAACTGACTGAGCCACCCAGGCACCTCTAACTTTCTTGTTTTAATATTTCTAAAAGAGGACTGTTTTCATAGCTGCAGCATTATCACATTTTAAAAATTAGTAATTCCTTAATTTCAAATACCAGGGTAGAAGTCTCCCTGATCATCTCATTAACAATATATTTGCAGTTGGCTTGTGAAAATAATGATCCAGATGACATTAAAACATTAAATATATTTGAATGTCTTCTTACGGGCGCCTGGGTGGCTCAGTTGGTTAAGCATCTGCCTTCAGCTCGGGTCATGATCCCAGAGTCCTGGGATCGAACCCTGTGTCGGGCTCCCTGCTCAGTGGGGAGTCTGCCTTTCCCTCTCCCTCTGCCCCTTCTCCCGCTCGTGCTCTCTCTCGCTCACTCTCTTTCTTAAAAAAAAAAAAAAAGAGATAAGACACTCTTTATTTCCCCCTCTTTTTTTCTTGCAACTTTAGGGTCCAAAGAAATCAAGTCCTTTGTTCTCTCAGATTTCATATGTTCTGAAATTTGCTGATTTCATTCCTGTGGTATCTTTCAGTGGATTTTTCGGTCCCCTGTCTTTCCTAGAGACTTATGTGCTTAATTGGCATGACTGTGTCTCAGGTAGGGCCGTGTGTACAATGTATCTTCTTTTTTGTCATATCCAAGAAGCAGGGAACATCCCGTTGCTCTCTTTTTGTGTTACTAAAATTGTTAGTGTGTTCAGAATATTATCAGCTTGATTCATTTATTATATAATCCCCCACCTAGTGTTTCCTGCAGCCACGGGTTATTGTTGCTGTCATTCTTTTATTTTATTGGAGATTTCATAATTTATTAGTTGGGATTCTGTTTTTCTTAGTTGTCAACAACACGTAACATAAAATTTACCATCTTAACCATTTTTAAATGTACAGTTCAGGAGTGTTAAATATGTTCGTCTTGTCGTGAAACAGATCTCCAGAACTTTCTCATCTTGCAAAACTGAAGTCTGTATCCACGCAACAATAATTCCGCATCCCCCCTCCCTTCAGCTCTCGGCAGCCACCATCCTACTTTCTATGATTTTGACTGCTCTGAGGACCTCCTTTAAGTGGCATCCCACAGTATTTGTCCTTTTGTGACTAGTGTACTTCACGCAGCGTAATGTCCTCAAGGTTCGTATTGTAGCACGTGTCAGAATTTCCTTCCTATTTAAGGCTGAGTCATACTCTTGTATCTAGATACCACATGTTGTTTACCCATTTATTCATCGGCTGATATTTGGGCTGCTTTCACTGATTGGCTGTCCTGAATGGTGCTTCTGTGAACATGGATGGTGCAAATAGCTCTTCGAGACCCTGCTTTCAGTTCTTTTGGATGCAAGGACCCTGGCAAGGGCCCAGAAGTGAGATGGCTGGCTCAGATGGTAGCTCTATTTTTATTTCTTTGACGAACGTCTGTACTGTTTTCCATAGTGGTTGCTGCACCATTTTACAGTCCCACCAATGGTGCATTAGTGTTCCACAAGTCTCACCACATCTTCACCAACACTTGTTATTGTTTGTGTGTGTTTTTTTTAGTAGTCATCCTGATGAGTTTGAGGTGATACCTCATTGTGGTTTTGATTTGCAGTTTCTTTGATGATTAGTGATGCTGAACATCTTTTTATATGCTTGCTGGCCATTTGTGTGTCATCTTTGGAGAAATGTCTATTCGAGTCCCTTACCTATTTTTTAATTGGGTTATTTTATATTTTATTATTGAGTTGTAGGAATTCTTTGTAGATTCTAGATATTAACCCTTTTATCATGTATATGATTGGCAAATGTTTTCTCCCATTCTCTAGGTTGCTTTTTAATTCTATTGGCTATATCCTTTCATGCACAAAAAAGTTTTTTAAAATTTTGATTGAGTCCCTTTTGTCAATTTTTATTTTTGTTCCCAGTGCTTTTGGTGTCATAGCTAAGAAATCATTACTAAGTCCAATTGTCGTGAAGCTTTGTATGTTTATCCTTTTTTTAAAAAAGATGTTATTTATTTATTTGTTGGGAGAGGCACAAGCAAGGGGAGTGGCAGGCAGAGGGAGAAGCAGGCTCCCTGCTGAGCAAGGAGCCCAATGCTGGACTCGATCCCAGGACCCTGGGATCATGACCTGAGCCGAAGGCAGACACTTAACGACTGAGCCACCCAGGCGCCCTTTTTTATTTTTAAAAGATTTTATTTATTTGACAGAGAGAGAGGGAGAGAGAGAGAGCGAGAGAGAGAGCACAAGCAGGGAGAATGGCAGGCAGAAGGAGAAGCAGGCTCCCCGCTGAGCAAGGAGCCCAATGCTAGACTCGATCCCGGGACTCTGGGATCATGACCCGAGCCAAAGGCAGACGCTTAACCAGTTGAGCCACCCAGACATCCCTTTATGTTTAACTTTTTGAAGGACTGCCAAACTCAGTTCTTCAAACTTCCACAGCAGCTGTACCATTTTGTATTCTCACCAACAACACACAAGGGTTCCAATGTCTCCAAATCCTCATCAACACTTGTTATTTTCCTGTTTTGTTTTTTGTTTTTGATAATAGCCATCATAATGGGTTCAGAATGATATCTCATTGTGCTTTTGATTTGCATTTCCTTAATGGATAATGATATTGAGCATCTTTACATGTACTTACTGGCCATTCGTATATCTTCTTTGGAGAAATGTCTGTTCACATTCTTTGCCCGTTTCTAATATTGGGCTATTTGTTCTTTTTATTATTCTCTTGCAAGAATTTTTAAAACATATTCCATATATGTAGGTGTCTTAGCACATACATGATTTGTGAAAAATTTTTCCCCCTTTCCACTTTCTTGATGGTTTCCTTTGACCTGAACTGAAACCAAGAGTCAGATGCTTAACCTACAGAGCCACCCAGGTGCCCCTAGTTTCTTTTATTTTCTTACTGAATTGGCCAGAATATTCAGAACCATGATGAGTAAAAGTCCTGATGGTAGACATTTTTGTCTTAGTCTTGATTTGAAAATAAGTGTGTTTTACATTTCAAATTAAGTATAAAGTTTGCTGTGGGCTTTCCTTTTTTTTAAAAATTTTTTAATTTGTTAAAGATTTTACTTATTTATTTGACACAGAGAGAGAGACAGTGAGAGCAGGAACATAAGCAGGGGGAGTAGGAGAGGGAGAAGCAGGCTCCCCACCAAGCAGGGAGCCCGATGTGGGGCTCGATCCCAGGACCTCGAGATCATGACCTGAGCTGAAGACAGACATTTAACCGACTGAGCCATCCAGGTGCCCCATGCTGTGGGCTTTTCATGGTTACTCTTTCTCAGCCTACGAATATTCTCTTCTCAGTTGGCTTGGGGTTTTTATTCCTGAATAGAGGTAGAATGTTGTTATTAAATGCTTTTTCTCTCTTTACTGAGATGATGATTCCTTTCAGCATATTCTGCTGGTCTGTTTTCTCATGTTAACTCAGTATTTCATTCTGCAGTTAGCTCCACTTGGTCCTAATATTTGATTTTTGGGGGGTACATTTTTGGATTTTATTTGCTAATACCTTGTTTCTTTTTTTTTTTCACATCTGCGATTGTGTGTGAGTTTGTTGTTTTTCCTTTCTCTTACTATTCTTGGATGGTTTGGGCTATAGCTAGGTGTTAAGCTGGTTTCATAAAGTGAATTGGGGAGTACGTTCTCTATTCTCCAGAGTAGTTTGTATGAGATTGAAAATATCTGTGCCTTGAGTGTTCAATATTTAGCTGATGTTTTATGATGACAGGTAAGGAGATAACTTGACCTACAGAGATGGGATGTATTTTTTACTCTGGAATAAGACTGCAGAAGTGGGTATTCATTCCATTTTCGTGGCTCATTGGCTCGTCTTAAGGTTACCGTATAGCTGTGAGTTACTCAGTGGCTCTGGCACAGAGTAATAAAGTTGTTCCACAGATGAGAACTAGGGAGCATAACGAGTTTTGTGAATGCTTTTGCCTTTTTTCCTACCATACAGTCAGAAGGGCATTGTTTCCTACATGTAGACTAATTAAATTTCTGTTCCTCTTACAGAAGTGATAGACCTTACCCATGATAACAAAGATGATCTTCAAGCTGCCATTGCTTTGAGCCTACTGGAATCCCCCAAAATTCAAGCTGATGGAAGAGATCTGAACAGGTCATTGATGTAATTTGTCCTCTTCGCTCCCCACAGCAGTGTCTAGGTCGAAGGCAATAATAGCTGTGGATGCCACTGAGGGACCATTCTGCCAAGTTCTTTTAATTGCATCCATATGAAATTTCTTTTAGGAGAAAATTTAAATTCACATTAGTTTACTTATTCTTTGGTTTATTTTTTTGACAAAGCCAAATATGACAAGGGCTTTACAGTAGCCGTGGTCTTTGAGTAGAAGCCTGCAGGCTTTTGTAGTTTACAATTTCTGGGGTTGGAGGGAGACACCCCATCCTCGTGCAGGCATCTGACAGTATGGATTCCCTTTATCAACCTGGAACCTTTGTAAACTTCGAGGGTCGTGTGGTCAGCTCTTTGAAAATGAAAGTTATCACTCAACTACCCTGTCTCAGGAGTGACCAAGGATATCTTTTTTTGAATTGGTGCTAATTTGGTGATTAGTATTGCTCGTAAACATCCAGTTCCAGTGGTAGCCGGTCAGTTTCCGGACACGTTTATTCCCTCACACCGATGAGTTGTTTTTTCAGGGAAACATAGGGCCAGGTTTTGTGTGCTAGGCCGTTGAAAGGCTCTTACCATTAGCAGAGTGTCTCTCTTGCCTTTTTCAATGGCAAGGTCTGAGATAGGGCACTGTTGTTGAAATCTAAAACTTGTAATACAGTAGCCATAAATAGGCTTGAGCGTCAGCTCAGTTCCATCATGGACCTTGTAAGTAATAATCTCTGGTGGAAGGATTAACATCTATGTCTAAATCTTACTTTACACTTGCATTATAGTTTTATAATTACTGTATAGCCAGCGATGACCCAGTAAATAGTTCATCTGGCATTTTGGATTATCTATGAAAGAATACCAGCATTCTCCATATATAATACATTGTTCCTTAACTTTTTCCTTTCTGGATTCGTGGTGTTTTGGCACCATACAGGATGCATGAGGCAGCCTCTGCAGAAACGAAACGCTCCAAGAGAAAACGCTGTGAAGTCTGGGGAGAAAATCCCAATCCTAACAACTGGAGGAGAGTCGATGGGTGGCCCGTTGGGCTGAAGAATGTTGGCAATACATGTTGGTTTAGTGCTGTTATTCAGGTATGGTATTTTTTAAAAAGATTTTATTTATTTATTTGAAAGAGAGAGAGAGAACACAAGTAGGGGGAGCGGCAGGCTGAGGGAGAAGCAGACTCCTCGTGGAGCAGGGAGCCTGTCTCGGGGCTCAATCCTAGGACCATGAGATCATGACCTGAGCCGAAGTCAGATGCTTAACTGACTGAGCCACCCAGGTGCCCCTCAGGTATGATATTTTTTGAGACAACTGTGTGTTCTGGGAACAACTTTGTCATTTGTTCAACTGAAATGTGAGAAACATAGCTTTTAAAAAATGGAAACAGATATATAAGACTGGGGTGTTTTATTTTCCCCATGGCGTTAATTGTGTTTTCGTTGCTTTCCTATTTTTGGATTTAGATGCTCTGGTGTCCAAATTGGGCAGTACTAAAAACAAAATATCCTGTGGTTGCGAATATGGTTGCAAAGATGTTGAATAGGTGTTTTGGATTAGCATTTCCTGAATCACGTGTTGGAGCAGAGCCAGAGTTAGTAAGGAGAAATCATCAGTGGGGAGGCGATCAGAGACATTCAGGCAGGAAGTGATGGCGGCCTGGAATAGAGAAGCTACATAAGGCTTGGAAGGAGAGTACAAGCATTCTAGAGCTGCGTAGGAGATCGGATCTACAGGATGTGGTGGAGCGGTTGGATATAGGGTTGAGAGTTGAGAAAGACTCCAAGGTTTCTAGCTTGAGGAATCAGGTGGGTGATATTGCCATTTGACGCTAAAAGAAGAATGTTTGGGTGTGTGTGAAGAGTGGGATCTCAGTTCAGTTTTACCCACGCTGAGTTTAAGATGCCACATGAAGAAACGTGGGCAGTTAACGACACGAACCTGTAGTTTGTTTAAAAGATCTGGGCTACGGATGCAGCTCTGGGAATCAGTAGCATATAGAGAGTGGTAAAGCCAAGGGAGTGGATGAATTCCCCTAGAGAGAGGGTTGCCTTTCTAGAAGTACCTCCCAGGCATCTTAAACTTGGCATGGCCACAGTGCGGCACTTGATCCTGCCCCACCAGTCTTCTCCTTCATGGTATTTGACATCTACCCAGCTGCTCAGCCGGAAATGGAGGCCTCCCTTTCCATACATAGGACCCAGATTCATTCAGCTATTGTGCGCCTGACACTGTGTTCGCACCAGGGAAACAGCAGTGAATACATCGAAGCCGTTACTCTCAGAGTTTCCTTTGAAAAGAGCGGGACAGACAGTAAAATATATATCAGGTGGTGCAAAGTGCCATAAACATGAGTGAGGGCGGGAGGAACTGGACGGGGTAGGAGGCCTTTCTGATATGGTGGGCTTTTGAGCAGAGGCCTGAGGGAGGGGACGGAATGTGCCCTGTAGTTACAGAAAGGGCAGCAGACAGGGAAGAGCCAGTAAAAAGACCCAGGTTCAGGAGCTTGCTTGATGTGTTGAGAAACAGGAAGAGGGCAGAACTTGAGGGTGGGGAACAGACTGTGACGAGGTCAGAAAGGTAGTGGAGGTGAGGTGGGGGAGCTGGGCGTGGTGAAGAGAATTTAGGGATTGTCTATGAGGTGGGAAAGTATTGGAAGGTTTAGAGCAGAGAAGTGAGATGATCCTACTTCCGTTTAAGAAGACGGCAGGCATCTGTGTTGAGAATAGCATGTCAGAAGGAATGTGGAATTAGGGACATCAGTCAGTCCTTTCAGAGAGAGAGGGGGAGAGAGTTTGAGCACCCTGGCTGCATTCACACCCTCCTCAGCCTTTACACCTGTGGGGATGTTGAAAGAAGCTGAGGGCATCACTGAGAAAGGTTCCTGAGGAAGCCTGAGAAGACAGGATGTGGAGCCTGGAGGTAGGGATTGGTCCTAAGTAGGAAAAGGGCAGGAGGGGCAGGAGAATAGTAGGGGAGAGGAGGGCAAGGAAGACATGATGGCTGCAGATTACAGTTGAAGTAATTTCCGATCATCCTCTCTGTGACGTGACCAGCCATTTTCTGAGGCCATGGAGAGGGGACAGCATCGGGTGTTAACGGGGGGGTCACCGCGGACAGTGGGAAACCAGTTGGCACCAGGACACAGTAGTAGGATTTCTACAAATTAGAAGGTCTACTTGAGGGTGTTGACCTTAAATGCATAGTGATGTCAGTGTGGCCTGTTTTTTATCAGGACTTTTTCTTAGCAGCACTCTGAGACTCTTAAGTGGAAAATGAAATTTATTTAGGCTGGAGGCTCTGCTGGGTTCAATGAAAGTTTGAGGATTTAGTGAAGGATGGTTAAAGACCATGGAATCAAAGCTAGAGAGAGGGAGGAATGAAGACAGGGAGGGACTGGTGGTTAGGGGAGAACAGGAAGCGTCTGTTTGCTCAGATCCTTGGTGAAGTCAAAGAACAAATGTCCTGCGGGGGACTTGGATCAAGAATGCCAGAAAGGTTCAAGAGCAGGCTTTTCTGAATTTGTGGCCTGAGAATTGGCTTCGTCTCAGGAATTGACATATCCTGGGTGTGACCTCAGATGTGGGTGTAGAGATGGAATGGAGAAATGCGTTACTAGAGATAGGATGCTCGCAAAGCCAAGGGTCCCTGGGCTGGGTGGATGTGCTCGTGTTCCCTCAGCAAACGTTAGTGGAACACCCACTGCATGTCTAGCCCTGTTCTAGGCCCTTGATAAGGGAATGAATAGAACCAAGACGGGGCTTTACCCTCATGGAACTTAAATTTTTGTGAGGCAAGACAAACTGCAAAAGTAACTAGTTAATTAAGTAGCTAAATTTAGGTGACATGTTAGGTTGTGATCGGTGTGACAGAAGCAAGATCAGGGCAGGGAGACCAGAATTGCTGCAGGAGAGATTGGAGCAGGGCACCGTATAAACTATGGTAGGTAAGGCCTCCTCGCCCAGGGGATGAGGTTGGGGCAGGTGCCAGATACATGCGAGGTGAGGGAGTGAGCCAGGCAGCCTCCGGGGAGAACATTCCAGGTGGGGGAACCCCAGAGCAAGGGCCCCAAGGTGGGAGCGGGCTGAGTGTACTCCCCGGGGCGTCCAGGAGGTCCGAGGGGCTGGGACACTAGGAGCAGAGGGGAGAGTCACTGGAGGTCCTGAGCAGAGGAGTGATGAACTCTGACCCGAATCTTAAAAGGCTTACTGTGGCTGATGTGAGGAGAGCAGAATGGGTGTGGTGAGGGACAGGTGGAGTGAACTCTGCAGGGGGCTGCTGCAGTTGTCCATGGGACAGGTGACAGTGGCCTGGACCTGGCTAGTAGCCATGGAAGTAGCAAAGAGGTTGGATTCTTGGTTTATTCAGAGGGCAGAGCTAACATGATGTCCTATTGGGCTGGGTGTGGACAGGACTTGGGAGAGGAAGAAGAGCTGTTATCCTTTGGCAGGTGTCCATGGATCAGGAGCTTTATTTTAGTCCTGTTAGGAAGACAGAGGAACCCGTGTGGCAGGTGAATTGGTACAGGGGAGGCCCTGGAGGCAGAGAGACCCTGAGCAGTGACCCAGGTGAGCAGTGACCCAGGTGAGCAGTGAGGAGAGACCAAGGAGGGCACTTGGTAAGGATGGGAGGGAAGAGGTGGTTCTAAGGAGCACCCCAGAGGCAGAGTCCAAGCAACCTCTTCCTCATTGGATGGGAATGGTTAAGAGAGAGACAGGATTTGAAGATTCTTCCAAAGTTCTAAACTTTATGAGTAGAGGAGGAGGATGTAGTTAAGTGACACAGGAGAAGCAGGTGCTGGAGGGTCCTAGGGATACTGGATTAGGAAATGTCATCAGCTCACACGTCGAGGGGTTTTAAGAATGGCGGTGTCTTTGGGGAAAGCCAGATTTGGTTGAAGGAGAGGGGTTAGAATGGAGTGTAAAGCCAGTTTTCTCATGGCAGAGCGGAATTTCTGGGACACATGACGGCATAGTCAGCAGAGCGCAAATGACACAGCAGGAGGGGACAGGGGAGGTGGAAGGAGAAGAGAGCAGGCTGAGTAGAGAGCAGAGCGGTCTCACTGGCTCCACATAGAACATTGGTGGAACAGCAGGACTGACTTTAAAGGTGCCACCCAGGGGTGCCAGGGTGGCTCAGCCTTCGGCTCAGGTCATGATCCCGGAGTCCTGGGATCGAGTCCCGTGTTGGGCTCCTGGCTCAGCGGGAAGCCTGCTTCTCCCTCTGACCCTCTCCCCTCTCATGCTGTTTCTCACTCTCTCTCTCTCTCTCTCTGTGTGTCTCAAATAAATAAATAAATAAAATCTTAAAAAAAAAAAAAAAAGGCACCGCCTTTTTGTGTGCTCACCCTGTTGGTGGCATCCCAGTTGGGTTGGGAGAGTGGGAGGGAAGCCAGAGGCCTGTTGTCTACCCAGGATGTTGCTTCCAGAGTTTTTCATCTGGGTCTTTCCTGAGGAGGAAAGTGTACTCCCCTGGGCGTCCAGGAGGTCCGAGGGGCTTTTCCTGAGGGGTTTTCCTCTGAGGAGTGTGTTGGGATGAGGAGCTGTATTCATACAAGGGATTTTTAAAAACATTAACCTTCAGAAGATATTCATAGTGGGATTATGCATGATTTACAAGTAAGCCAGAGATTCCTGCTATTAAAATTTTTTTTTAAATGCAGTTCTTGTGACAAAGAATGGAGAGTAGCCCATGTTGCTGTACTCACCGCCCAGCTTTAGAAAGAAATGGTACAGCTCCCTGGGTCCCTGGGAGTGCCCATACCCAATCCCTGCTGTGCCCATCCCAGTCATAGCCTCCTTTCCCCGCAGATAAAACCACCCCTGCAAGTATCCTTAGACCAACTGCCATGTTGTTTTGTGTATAATTAAACTTACTATGAACACTTTAATACTCTGTTTTTCTGGAACTTTCTTCCACAGAGAATATAGCTCTGAGATTTCTCCATGTTGATCCTGTAGCTCTCGGGAACTCACTTTCAGTGCTGTGTACTAGTCCATTTTACGAAGACACTTTTTTTTACAATTTGATTTTAATGACTACATAACGATCTGTCATATACACATACTATACGTTATTTAATCCGTCTCTCTTGTCAGCCATGATGTTGTTTCTGGGTTTTTCCCCAAAGAATTAATATTCCGTCAGCTTTGTTTGTACCGTAGCCATCGTTCTCTCACACAGGATAGAGGTAGAAATAGCAGGTGACGGTCACACGTACTTTCAAGGTAAAAGAAATACCGTTCTGCTGCAGTTAATTTGAAAGAAAGGCTACGGATCTTTCTTTCTTTCTTTCAGTCTCTCTTTCAACTGCCTGAATTTCGAAGACTCGTCCTCAGCTATAGTCTACCGCAGAATGTGCTTGAAAACTGTCCGAGTCACACGGTACGTCGCTGCGGAGAAGTCCTCACTCTCGCTTGGTCCCTCTCATCCCAAAGGCTTTTAAATTCTGGCCAAAGCTGATAGCTGTGATGTCCTTTGGCTGCGCTAGTATTTGGTTTCGTTCCCAAATGGCTTTTTCCTTCCCTGTGACACGAAACAGGGGTTTGCAAAAATGTAAAGTTAAGTAGGAATAAAATTAGAAAAAGAGTTTCAAGAAAGTGGCAAGTCGTCCTGACGGCCTCCGCTTTTCTGCCTCTGGGAGGGAGATTCAGAAATTCTGAATCACAGAAAGTGTGTGTGGCGACCTGTGCCGATGCTGGAGGCGTGCACCTTCCAGAAGGTTCTGCGGTCGGCTCTTGCCCAAGGACGTGGCCTCCTGCCAGCGATCTAACCCTTGCCAGGATTTCACCTTGGGGGTGCGTTTTCCTAATAGGCGGGAGGGCAGCAGCTTCAGAAAATAAACATCTTTGCCTTTCCTACAACATTCCTTCCTGGCCTCCACATAGACAGCTTCAGCTGAAGGTAATCCCCTACACAGACCTTATCAGAGCACCTGTGAGGTGGTTTGGGTCCTCACTGATCCAGGGTTGGGTTGCTGTCTCGTGCACTACTCACACGTTGGTGTCTCTACAGGAAAAGAGAAATATTGTGTTTATGCAAGAGCTTCAGTATTTGTTTGCTCTGATGATGGGATCAAATCGCAAATTTGTAGACCCTTCAGCAGCCCTGGATCTCTTAAAGGGAGCGTTCCGATCACCTGAGGAACAGCAGGTACGAGAAGCCCGTTATTCTCGTGTTTTCCCTCGGGTTCTGCGACGTTTAAAGCCATGCCTCGCTGCTGTTCCTGTGATGTGGCCTCAGGTCAGCTATGCAGTAAGCTCTGAACGTGACTGCATGGGACTCGGGGTACACAGGGGCTGTTGGAGTAGCGAGGAGGTTGAAAATACCTCGGCGCATCACAGCAAAGGGTCGCTGACAAAAGTAAAGCCCTCTGTCTGCGCCTGTGCCTTGGGATGGCCCAGATAAAAATCCTATTTTTAATACTACGTAAACCTAAGTTGAGCAGCTTTGCTAAGTGATCTTTCTCTTCTAGACATTAGTGCTTCCCTTTCCCTACCTTCTGTTACAAAACAAAGCTGTCACCGGTAGAAGAGCACCTGCCTCGTAAAATTACATTTTCCCTTTGTTTCTCTAAAGGTCCTACAGTTCTACAAAATTCTCAAAACATTTCATAAAAGTCTCTTTTCTCTATTCAGATCTCCTATTGTTCTAGAGGACTAGAGTCTGTTCTGTGGACCTTTTTTTTCTTTTTCTTTTCTTAAGGCCTGCCCGGAAGATTTTGTTCGTTCCCCGTTTGTTACAAATAGATGTGGCTTGCAGTGATGGCGCTCCAGTTCCCTCCTAGCCACGAGCTGGGCAGCGGCTGCCTTCTGTTTCTGCAGTGCCTGGGGTCCAGGGTTCCTCGTCTCTTCCTGCTGTTTGTTCTCAACAAACAAATCCTTCCATAGTCCTACAGTCGTAATCGTTGGCGGGATAAGGGCAGATTTTCATTGCCCTAAGTGTAGTGTTGGGTCTAACTCTTATGCCATTTGTGCCTCTTTTGTAGCAAGATGTGAGTGAATTCACACACAAGCTCCTGGATTGGCTAGAGGACGCATTCCAGCTAGCTGTGAGTGTGAAGTGAGTGTTGAGGATTTGTTTGGCCCGCATTCCTACTCACAGTGGTCCAGCGAGAACTATGATGGGGGGAAGGTACTCTTCTCCAGTAGAAATTGCTGGGTTTTGCCAAACTTCATGGGGTAACCACTCAGATACTTGTCACTCTGTATCCTCCTTGCCTTTGGTTTTTCTCTCTGAAGATGTAGATAATCATCTCAGCCTGCCACCTTTTACTGAAAGGCCATAACGCTGAACGTCGTTAAAGTCATGGCCTGTGCTACAGAATGTGTTAGAAGGCCAAATCAATCCTAGATGTGAATGTGGTAAATCAAATTTAGTCACTGCAGGCACTGAAATGAATTTCAGAAGTGAAATTCAGGGCAAAGAATACAAGTATCCCCTTTCGAATACAGATGCTGAGAAATTTTCTAAATTGTTTTAACTCTAAGTAAAAGAAATCTATATATCGTAAGACAGCTTTGCACATAGCACCTCACATAGTAACACTTTATTTAAGGTGGACTTGTCCATTTCTGTTGTGCCACTGGGAAAACTTTTGTGTTTATTTGCAAAACTGCACAAGAGGGTTGATTCTTGCTTCTGTCGTATTCTAGAATTTGTATACATCTGTCACTGGCTATAGATATATATATTGAATGTATACAGATACACGTATTTTTCGGTATGTAGGACTCTCCCTCAGCTCCTCACAGCCAGGGATCATGCCTGTATATTTGCTCAATGAGTATTTAAACTGAACGAGCCCATTACTAATTTTGGACCATGCCTAGCTCTTTGGAGGTCTATGAAAGTGAACTATTTTTGCTTTTGAATGACGGTTAGGTTTAGTGTGGTGCTTATCTGATCCAAATGATAGAGTACTGTTTTCTTTTTTTTTAAAAGCAGCAATCCCAGGAACAAATCTGAAAATCCAATGGTGCAGCTTTTCTACGGTACTTTCCTCACTGAAGGGGTTCGTGAAGGTAAATTCTCTGCTCTGTTAGATCTAGACTTGTGACTGTATCTGTATTAGTCGAAAAGGCTTTCAAGTCAGGCATTTCCAGGTCTGAATATTGATTCTACCTCTTAGTATGTGTGTAACATGGACAAACTGTGTGAGTACCTGGATCCTCAGTCTCTTCATCTGTAAAATGGGCACAGTGTTTACAGTTGTTAGATGAAATCGTATAATATTCGCACAGCCCAAATCTAGTATTAATGTGAGACACAGTGATGCTACTTAATTTTCTCAGTGTTGTTCTTTTCCAATGTAATAGCTAATCTCAAAAGGTTTTGTTGAGTTAGACTGCCAAAAATACTTGTCCGCTTTAGAGGCTTATCTAAGCTGCATGTTGGATGTGTAATTTTAATTTTTTGTTCACTATGGAGAATTTTTATCATCCAGATAGGGCAGTCTAAAAACCCCCCATGAACTCAGCAACCTTTAGTTCATGGCCAGACATTCCCTAACTCCTTTCTTCTCTTACCCTTCCGGTATTCTCTGTGAAACAATAACAATACCACTATTCACTCCAAAAAAGTAGCATTTAATATCAAATATCTAGTCAGTGTTCAGATTTCCATGTTGTTTTATAATTTTATATATTGGGGGGATGGGTGTTGTGTTTATTTTTACAGTTTGTTTTAATCAGGATCTAAATGTGGGTCATTTATATAGTTGATACGTCTTTTAAGTTTCCTATCAAAATCTGTACACTATCCCCCCCAGTCTCTTTTTTCCTTGAAATGTTATTTTTTAAGAAACCAGGTGGTTTGTTCTCTGAGATTCCCCAAAGTCTGAAATTTTGCTGCTTGCATATCCATGATATCACGTTCCTTTCTACTCCTCTTTTTATAAATTGGTAATTGGATCTAGAGTTTGACCAGATTCAGGTAAGGCTTTTCTTGGCAAGACTAATTCACAAGAGGTGGGATAGTCTTTGATCAGGAGGCACATAATGTCTGCTCATCTTTCTTTTCGTGATGGTAGCAGTCACTCATGATCGGTGCCTGGATCCACTGGTTCGTTGGAAGTTGCCCTACAGGCTTAAGTATGCTTCTGACAGTTCTCAGCAAGTTGCTGAATCAAGAAGATGCTATCTCCGTAGTGCCAGCAAAAAGGCTTCGGATAATGCTAGTGATGTCTTTAAAAAAGCAATCTGTTTCTTTGCCTAGGAAAGCCCTTTTGCAACAATGAGACCTTCGGCCAGTATCCCCTTCAGGTAAATGGTTATCGCAACTTAGACGAATGTTTGGAAGGGGCCATGGTGGAGGGTGACATTGAGCTGCTTCCTTCCGATCATTCGGTGAAGTACGGGCAAGAGGTAAGTTGGATATTTTTATTTGCCGTGCTAGTGACAAAACCAGTTAAGTAGAACTGAGCTCTTCCCATCAGATATTAAAGAACTTTACACATAACAGATGTTGAACTAGTCTGAAGGTCTCTCATGAGTTGATATGCGTTAGTCAGTCTTAGTGTTTGATGAATAAATTCTTCGCTGAAAGTATGAATTTGAGTTAATCATATAAAGGTTGTATGCTGCTTCTGATGTTTTAAGTATGATCAAGTTTCTCTTTTTCTGTTGAAGCCTACCTGTACCAATAGGGAGAACCCACTGCCTCCATATTTTCGGAGGGTAAAAGTACAGTGATTAACTCCTATGGTATGCCATTTAGAATATTTTCCCTATTACACTATTTACTGTTCTTCGTAGTAAATTCTGCCTTTGCTTTTAAAATTTTTCAAATTTAACGTTCATTTATTTTTGTGGGTCGGAAGGAAAGGGGGAAGTTAGCGGGAGAGCAAGGGTTAATTAATGTCCCAGGATTCCAGTTGGGTTAAGAATTAGTGAATTTGGAACATAACTGTCACTACCACACTGCTTGGCTTGTTCTCCTTTATCATACATTTTGAAACAAAACTGTGGGCTTATGTGAGTCCAACTTAGTAATTACTGTCGGAGAAAGCAGAGCTTTTTTGAATTAAAATCGGGAGCCTGACACGAGCCATGTTGCAGTGCATGAGCTGTTGGGCAGCGTGAGCACTGGGAGAGAGCTGCTGCCCCCCTGGCTTTCCAAGGACAGTGCGGACTCCTGGCTGGGAGGCAGGATGGGACATTTGTCCCATCTGTGCACAGCTGATGCATGCTCTTACGAAAGAGTAAGGGGTGTTCACCAGCTAGACCTCTGGAGACCTTTATTCAGAATGGGAACGCTATTAAAAAAAAAGAAGAAGAAAAGAAAATCATTATGCTTATTTAGATTTAGCCTGAGGCAGTCAGACAGGCTCTCTGGATTCACCTCATGCCAGCAGGGAAAGGGAACTTAGCTGTTTGCTCCTTTGGTAAAGGGAACGTCTTAAAAACTGCTCTTGCAGACCTCTGGCATAGAGGTGAATTGAACAGAAATGCCTCTCCTGGTTTAGCTCTTCCTCATCTGTGATCAGGAATAGTTGAGATCTTTTTTTAGAAGTCAGTGCTTTTTTCTCTTGAAGCTCAAGGTAACATCCTAGGTTGATTTGACTGGGTCCCTTATGAGACATCTGTAAAGTCTTAGAATTCAGAGATTTTCTCAGAAACTTGAGCACTCATAATCATGAGGCTCTTAGAAATAAAGGGGATTCACATTATGGTGAATAGACTGTAAATAAATAGTATATATGTACACATATTAGTCTTCTGAGCTGATTCATGGAGATAATTAGCTCCTTAGTTATATGCTGCTTAGGTCCTAATTTACGATTCTTTGGTTAGGCTAGCCGTTCTCTTCAGCTTTTGACCCTGTTTTGACTACTGATGACTTAGTAAGTGGTGAGGATTCTTCTTGCAGCTCACCCACCTTAAGAGTGGGTATTTCTGAGGATAATAGTCAAATAAAATGTTGTTGACTGGCTTGTAAATTTGGAGTCTTGAGGAATGTTTAACCACATTCTCTGAGAGGGCACGATGCTAAGTGGTCATTTTAGTATTTGGGATAAAAAAACCTCTAGGGTCAATTGGATTTGAATATAAATTCTATACCAGAAGAAGAAAGTTTGATGAGGGATGCTTTAAATCTGGCTTTTGCTATTTCCTGAAATTAACTTCTTTCTTTCATATTTCTGCTTCTGACATAGCGTTGGTTTACAAAGCTACCTCCAGTGTTGACCTTTGAACTCTCAAGATTCGAGTTCAATCAGTCCCTTGGTCAGCCAGAGAAAATTCACAATAAGCTGGAATTTCCTCAGATCATTTATATGGACAGGTGAGTTCTGTGATTGAGTGTCTTCTTTGTGTATTACAGAAGGAGTAGGGAGCATTTACTAAGCGTATTGTGCATAGGAATCGCCTGGGGCTCTTGATAATATGCAAATGTGGAGTCACTGGATTCACTGGCTCTAGGTTGGGGCCCAAGAGTTGGCATTTCTGAGAAGCTCTCAGGGTGATGCTGATGATGCATTTCATATTGAGACCACAGCTTGAGTAGCTAGGCTTCAGGTGAGAGCCATGCATGTGGATCGGCCACAGGGTATTGCATCTAATCTCAATACTGTTTGTATTCCTGAAAAAAAATTCCTAGGTTGACTTATATTACAGGATTTTAATCTTTTTAAAGTGGTTTATTGATGTATAGTTTACACACAAAACAATATTACCATTCTTTAGGTATAGGGCCAATGAGTTTTGACAAATGTCTATAGTCAAGTAACCACCAGCACAGTTCGATATAGCACATTTCCATCCCCCAGAAGGTTCCCGCATACCCCTTGCAGTCAGTCTCTTTCCCCACCCCAGGCCCTAGCAACCACTTGACTTGTTTTCCTGCCCTGTAGTTTTGCCATTTCTAGAATGTCACAATGGTGATACTAGTATTCAGAACACACTCTGTTGTGGTTGTCTTCTTACACTAAGGATAATGTTTTGGGGATTCATCCATATTGAATAATAACCCACTGTAGTGATATTCCAGTATTTTTTCCGTTAACCGGTTGACAGATATTTCAGATGTATCCAGTTTTAGGCTATTATGAATAAAGCTGCTATGAACATTCACCCCAAAGTGCTGGTGTGGTTTTTAGTGCTTCTGGGTAAAACACCTAGGAGTGAGATTCCTGGGTTGTATGAAAAGTATATGTTTAATTGTATAAGAAATTTCCAGACTGCTTTCTAAAGTGGCTGTATGATTTTGCGTTCCCACCAGCAGTGTATGAGAATTCCATTTGCTCCAAATCTGCCCATAATTGGAATTGTCAGTCTTTTAAATTTTAGCCATTCTAATGGGTTTGTAGGAATATCATATTTTTCTTTTGACATATATCTCCCTGATAACTATTGATGTTGAGCTTCTTTTCATGTGCTTAATTAATGGTCATTTGTATATTTTCTTTGGTGAAGTGTCTTTTCAAATCTTTTGTCCATTTTTTAATTGGGTTGGTTGTGTTCATCCTGAGTTGTAAGAGTGAGTTCTTTGACATATTTTGGGTACAGAACCACATAGTCCTCATCTGTGCTGTCTCTTCCATTTTCTTACCAGTGTCTTTAGGAGACAGTGAGTTTTTAGTTTTGATGAAGTCTAATATATCAGTTTCTCTTTTAGAGTTTGTGTTTTTGTGTTCTAACTAAGCGATCTTTGTCAACCCAAGGCCACAAATTATGTAATTTTAACTCATATATTCATGTCTATGACCCATTAGGGTTTACTTTTATATATAGTATGAGATGAGGGCTTTTGTTTTTGTTTTTGTTTTTTGCAGGGGAGGGAAGGAAGTCATGTGGATGTCCAATTATCCCTTCCCCCCACTGGATTACCTTGGTACTTTTGTCAAAAATTAATTGTGCATGTAGTTGTGGGTCTATTTCTGGAGTCTCTGTTTTATCTATTATCTAATCTTAAGCCAGTGACACATTGTCTTGATTACTTTGGCCTTATTGTAAAACTTGGCGTCAGAGCATGTAAGTCCTCCGATTTTGTTCTTTTTTTTTTTTTCAAAATTGTTTTGGCTATTTTGATCCTTTCCATTTCTAGGTAAGTATTAGAATTAGCTTGCCAGGGGGCGCCTGGGTGGCTCAGTCGTTGGGCGTCTGCCTTCAGCTCAGGTCATGATCCCGGGGTCCTGGGATCAAGCCCCGCATCGGGCTCCCTGCTCGGCGGGAAGCCTGCTTCTCCCTCTCCCACTCCCCCTGCTTGTGTTCCCCTTCTTGCTGTGTCTCTCTCTGTCAAATAAATAAAATCTTTAAAAAAAAAAAAGCTTGTCAGTTACTACCTCGTGACTATTGTGATTTTGATTGGCATTATGTTGAATCTGTAGATAAGTTTGGGGAAACTATTTTGAGTCCTTTAATCCATGAACGTGGTATAGCTCCATTTATTTAAATCATTAATTTCTCTCAACATTGTTTTGTAATTTTTAGTGTACAGGTCTTGCATATATCTGAGGAAGTTTATACCAAAATATTTCATGCTTTTGATGTTCTAACGGTTTCTAAAAAATTCTGCTTTCCATTTGTTTTTCACAAGTATGCGGAGATGCAGTAGATTTTCCCCCCTCTCTCTTTTTTAATTGACTTTATATCTTTTGACTTTACTAAACTCACTTACTAGTTCTGATGTATTTTTGTAAGTTCTTTGCTACTTTCTATGTAGACAATTATGTCTGCATAAAAAATTATCTCTGCAATGAAAGGCAGTTTTACTTTTTTCCTTTGTAAGCCTCTCCTCCCTCCCTCTGTTCCCCTCCCTCCCTCCCTCCCTCCCTGCCTTCCTTCCTTCCTTCCTTGCACTGGCCATGCCTCCAGTAAAACATTTAGTTGAAGAGACAAGAGTGGGCCTCCTTGCATTATTCCTGGTCTTAGGGGGAAAGCTTTCAGCCTTTCACCATTAAGTATGATCTTAGCTATATGTTTGCATAGAAGCCCTTTGCTTCAGGAAGTTCCCTTGTATCCCTGGTTTGCTGGCACTGTGTGCCATTAATGCTTTTAAATATAAATTGTGTTTGTGGTGTTATCATTTGCTTAGGTACATGTACAAGAGCAAAGAGCTTATTCGAAGTAAGAGAGAGTGTATTCGAAAGTTGAAGGAGGAAATAAAAGTTCTGCAGCAAAAACTGGAAAGGTGAGTCGTGACCCCTCTGTGCTTAGAAATGTGAAAGAGTAGAACGTTAAAACCAGATAATTTGCTTAAATTTAAAAATTAATTTGGATGTTAAGTATTAACTAGTGTGTTTTATAAAATAGCTAAGGAAAATTCTCTGAGCGTGAAGCAGTCTGTAAGAGGAACCAGAGTATCCATGGGCGAGTAGTAGTCCCGAGGACTGGCGGGACTCAGGGTCACGCGGTCAGTCCCTGGCAGTGCACAAAGGGACCTCAGCTTCTGAGTTCATAGCCCTTTACTTTTTCTCCTCCCCTCGTCATCTTCTTCACAAACACGAGAGAGAGAGAACGGTCACAGTACTCCAATCCCTGTCTTGGGAGAGCGTTTTCTTAAGGATCTGGGAAAGATAAAAAACAGAAACGGTGCTCTTCTACCTGGAGCTGGTGCTCAGTGATTCAAAGGGCTAACAGTTGTGACACAGACAAAGTCCTCTCTCTCGTGGAGGAATCTTTCCCCTTTTGTCCATTCGTTTTCCCACTGTTTCTTGGGAACCACCCCGTGACTTCCTAAGGAGGAGTCTATGTATCGATCCCATTGATTTAGCATTTAAGAAGGAAATCCCATATAATGTCAATGGCTTTTCCCCCCTTTATCTACTTCACAGTTTTGCTGTGAACACCACCCCACTTCTACCCACTCCATTGCGAGGTCGTTCATTTCCCTGAGAGGCAACCCTTTCCATACCAGCCCAAGATAGACCCTGCACCCGTAGGTCCCCGTCTCCCGCTTCCTGTCTCTCACTTGGGAAGAACTTATCCAAGGTGTTGAGTGATCAATTCTCTGCTTATCTTATATAGACTTAAGCTGAGGATTGATTCTTCAAATACCATCCTGGAAGTGATTTACAGGACTCTACTTGCAGCTGTATTTTACCTTTAAGGTTTTAGTGATGGCTTTGTAAGATTGGAAAAATGTAACTGTTTTTATAGAACCAAATATACCTGATGTATTATAACATAGAAAAACTCAATTTGCCAGTAACCAACAGGGCGTTCTGACTTTAGATTTTAAAACAGAGGCTATGAGCATTTTCTGTAGTATGATACTACTTAAAAAAATACATAAAGTGAATTTTTTATTTATGTATTTATTTATGTATTTTATTTATGACTGGCTGACTCAGTAGAGTCTCAGGGTTGTAGGTTCGAGCCCCATGTTGGGTGTAGAGATTACTTAAAAATAAAATCTTTAAAATAAACAAATAAAATAACTTTTAAAATCTCAGATAATTTTATTTGGGTAATTTAAAAAAAAACCACTTGTCTAAGTGTGACCTGCTCCTGGGAAAATATACAGGAACTGTTAGTGAATACCAGTAGGTAGTAGAACTGAGATGTGAGCTGGTGAGTTTTGTGATTTGTTTTACACTCTGTCGTATTTGAATTTTCTTACCAGCACGTGCATTACTTTCATCATTAAACAAAAAGTTCACCCTTTCTTCTCTAAGATACCTTGATATAATATTAAAAATGAGATTTCTTGCATATAGTGTAGACATCTTTTTTTTTTTTTTTTTAAGATTTTATTTATTTATTTGACAGAGAGAGACACAGCAGGAGAGGGAACACAAGCAGGGGGAGTGGGAGAGGGAGAAGCAGGCTTCCCGCCGAGCAGGGAGCCCGACGCGGAGCTCGATCCCAGGACCCCGGGATCATGACCTGAGCCGAAGGCAGACGCTCCACGACTGAGCCCCCCAGGCGCTCCTGTATACATATTTTTTGAAACTACTTTTGCTCAGATTCTACTAACCGAATACAGCTGCTGCCTTGTATGAAGTGGTGGGTCTAAAGGAATTAATTCAGTTAGAACAGGACAATGATTATGTCAGAAAATCGAAGCTAAGTTTCTTAGAGGAAATTTTTTCCTGAAGTTTTGTTATCAGTATCATATCATATTAAAGTGTTAAAGTGCTGGTTACTGTAAGTGATGACTTAAGATCCAATGACATATTGTGTCTGTGCTGCATTTCTAGTGAGAAAATGTTTCCTTTGGTCCATGCCAGTCATGTGTAAATTAGTTCTTTCAACAAACACTATGTGCTTCTGAAGACCTATTAGCCATGTCTGTGGTATAGACCCGAGGTTCAGGTCCTGTCCTGTAGAAGTTCAGCGGGGGAGGGGGGAGCTGGGGGGTGGGAAGGATGTGGAGGAAGACTTGATGGAGAAACTAGATCTTGAAAGGTAGGTAGAGTTTAGTTAGATAAGCCCATAGTAGCTGAAGTAAAGACAAGGAAACACATCTAAGGAATAGTACGGTTTTCTAAGCTTCCTCTAAGTTGACATATTTGACTTCGTTTTCAGTGAGAGCCGCCACTCTCCACGGCTAATTGCTAATTCTGCTTCTCCTTCAAATTAGTGAGGATAAAGTGTCTTTGCTACCTACCCTCTAACTTTGAACTGCATATTTCCCACTGGTATTCTCATTTCATAATGTCCTTTTTGATATGGACACAATTTTCTTTCTTCCTAGTTCTATACGTGTTTCTTTCTTTCCAAGTGCCTCTCTATCCCTTTGTAAATGGAACCCCATAATTTTAGGGTTCCCTTGTACCAGCCAGTCAACCAGTGCTATTTAAATGCTGTCCCCTGTGGTGAAGTACAGAGTTCATTAAAGTTCATATTTATATTGAGTCTCACATGTGCTGGTAAAGGCAGAATATTGGATAGTGTTAAAATCATTTGTTAATTATTTTGGTTATATATTGATTTTATTATTTACTAATCCCAAAGAAATCTTCAATAATTTATGGCTGGCCTATGCTGTTGAATGAGTGAATGAATAATAGGGTACTGAGGACCCTACAGAAGAAAGATTTGCCAGTTTTCTTCAACTCTGACCTTCATTAACACCTATTTTTCATTTCCAGCTTTCTCTCATTGTTCTTAATTTCCAAGTAGGGGTCTTAAGGGTAGCGAAGAATAAACCCTTGGGTACCAGTACACCAACATGATTTTCAGATTTGAGCACTGCTAATATATCTGTTTTCCTTTAAGAAATAGAATTTACTTCTCTGACCAGAGCCTAGATGTGATAGGATTTCAAGAGAAAGCGTAACAGACATGACTTCAATTAGGAGCCCATTTGAAATGTTTTCTGCCAGGTGTAAACACATAGACTTACCAGTTTTTACTTTTGTAGAGAATTCTCACCTTATGGATTGTTTGAGTGACGCATTGAATACTGCATAGCCTTTAGGAATAAGCCTTTCTGTGGACTCTACAGGGTAACAGGGGTTTTGTCAACAAGCCACAAAGTACCAGGCAGACTTGGCCAGTAGAGCACCGTTGTCTTTGCCTCTTAGGTACGTGAAGTACGGCTCAGGCCCAGCTCGGTTTCCACTCCCGGACATGCTGAAATACGTTATCGAATTTGCCAGTACAAAACCTGTCCCAGAAAGGTCCACGTCTCAAAGCGATGCGCACATGACGTTACCGCTTTCTTCAGCACACTGCCCAGTTTCTGACCCGGCATCCCAGGAAAGGTGATGAAAACAAATGTTTAAAATAGTACACATTGTGGGGCGGGGCGCCTGGCTGGCTCATTCGGTGGAGCATGCCACTCTTGATCTCAAGATTACTTAAAAATAAAATCTTAGGGAAAAAAAGATAGTACACGTTGGGGTTTTTTGTGTAATTTGAACTGTGCACCATCTTCCCACCTGATAAAGACTCACCCCATTAAAGGGCAAGGGCTACAACTTCTTGGTCTTAAAGGGAAAGGTTTGCCCCCACATAGGTGGGAGTGTTCCCGATTCCCACCAGGGCACTCACTTATCTTGCCCACAGGATGGGTGGGATTATTTCAGGGGCCTTTTGAACGGTCTGCAGTGGTGTTCATGCCCCACCGAGTCTACCTTGTTTTGAACTAACTATAAGCTAGCTGCCACTCAATCCCTGATCTTCCAAAACCTCTCATTCTCACACCTGCTGAGAAGGATGCTCAACCAAGTCAACCTCAGGGAAAGATTTATTCATGAGTAGACTATTGAAACATGTTCAAGAACTGCTAGACATTGAAGAGGACAGCAGAGAGGGGCTTGTTGGGAAGGAACGGGAGGCCAAGTCACATGAGCCCTCATATTCTCTTAGCTCAGATCAGATTTGCTGTGTGTCCTGGCTAATACAATCACTAGAACCCATTGGGGAAAAAGTCTGTACTTCATATTTGTTGCTTCTGTATATTTTATTCAGTCATCTGCATCGTGGAAACTCTGTAGTGGTTCCTTGATTCTTCCAGCCCAGTCTTCTCTTCTTTGAACTCTTCCTTCATGTCCCGTCTTAAAAGAAGTGGTTAGAGAGTATGAATCATAGACTCAGACAGATCTGGGTTTAAGTTCCATAATTTACTAGCTGGGTGAGCTTGGGTAAGTGGTTTAACTTACCTAAACCTTAGGTTTGTAATTGGTGAACTAGGGATGATAATAGTATCTGCCTCAGAAGCAGCTAGTGTTAAATGAGATGATGCATATAAAGACACGGTTGGGCTCAGTGCCTTTGTAGAGCAAATAGTCACTAAATTATAGCAACACTTCTCCATATAGCAGTTAGCATTACAAAGCACATTAATTGAGGCCGAGGCATATTCTGGAAATTATCATGTGAATGTGATTTTTATCTTTCTTCAGTACAAGTAAAGAAAGCTCTTCTCAGGATGTTGAAGGTACCTTTTCTTCTGAAGATCCTCTACCCAAATCTAAGGCAATGAATAAGCCACTTGCATCTTCCCGGTCTTCAATGGAAATGCCTGCACAGCCAGCTCCTCGAACCGTCACAGACGAGGAGATAAACTTTGTTAAGACCTGTCTTCAGAGGTGGAGGAGTGAGATCGAACAAGATATACAAGGTTGGCTCTTTTAAAGCTCGTTGGACAACGACTCTTTCCCTTTCCACCGGGAGTCAGGCATGGGTGATGGAGTGCACGACTCAGGCACATGGGGATTGGGACTGGCTTTGTACTTTTAGGTCCTCCCATCATACAACTGCGGAAAGATCCCTCCTAGAAACCCTCCTCAAAATTTCTGGGAACTCTCGGGACACTTAGACGCTCGCAGTTACCGTCTGCTGGGATTTTTCTGCATCTGCTGATACCTGTTCCTGTAGCTTATGTGAACTCTGGCTTTAGTCGACCCAGACTTAAAATTTACCTCTCGTAGATTTCCACTTTTATGAGTCTTGTCTGTAGGGAAGCAGGTTTTACTGAAGGCTAATGAGGCAGAGAGTGTTGGGAGCAATGCACACAGTGTAAAATGGAGTTATTCAGCCTTCTGTTTTTAAAGGCCCTTTGGCCTCATTGTCATGTTGCTCAGACTTTCTCTCCTTGCCTTCCTTTCTCCTTTTATCTAGGGAGCCAAATAAATAAAATAATCAGATCAATCAAATCACATTAGTCAAATCAAATCAAATCCTCAAATCCAGATTCCTCCCAAGTTCTTATCACAGAAATTTTGCCCTGCCTTTTGCTCTGCCTTCTCCTCTCAGATCCTGTCTCAGGGATATCCATTTTACACCCAGAATGACCCATGAAGGTCTTTTTCTAAATAGAGACTGTTTGTTTGGGGCAAAATTTTGGTGCCTATTATAAGAGATAATTTTTTAAACCCTTAATGGAATTAGGTTAAACTAAAAGCCTTTATAATCTAAAGCACTAGCTGCCTTGAAAGCCTCCACTCCCTTATGGTTCATAGAGTAAAAATGAAATCGTCAGAACCCAGAGAAACAGTGCTTTTTGCTTGGCTGAAGCACCCTGTGTGGCGTGGAATGACATCATTTTAACTAAGTTTTGTTTTTGTGGTTTTTTTTTTTTTAACAGATTTAAAGAATTGTATTGCAAGCACCACCCAGACTATTGAGCAGATGTATTGTGACCCTCTCCTTCGTCAGGTAGAATGGATATTGATGGGAAAGTAGTCAAGGCATGTCCTCATGTGCTAATGTAGATCAAAAAGAAAATTTGATGGTTTTCTTTGAGACTGAATGGGAACCTCCCTGAGTTATAAGAATAAACTTAGAACAGAAATAGGTATTTTTTCTGTTTATTTTTAGGCCAAAACAAGGAATGTATCTTCCACTAACAATAAAATTTAAAACATACTTGTTTTGATTCTGCCACATGGTATTTTTTCATACAGTAGAAAGATTTGCTGTCCAGTATTAAAAATTTCCCATCAAGTGGTCCTTTAAGTCATGTGGTGGGGAAAACCCCCACCAGGGACTGGTTACCCACCCTTTCCAAAGTATCACCATCCTTGGTGATGCTTTGCTTTAGCAGCGTGCTTTCAAGCTTTATTTCCCTGAAAACTGCAGAAGGGAATGTGGTCAGGGCAGAAGTTCTTATTGTCCACATAAATTTTTGTTGGGAATGACATCGTGGGTACGGAACGGGGAGGAAGCCGCGGTCAGGGGCACGAGCGCCCAGTGGCTTCTGTGTGCACGGCTGGCGGGGGAGAGTCCCGTCTGCTGCCGGGTCTCATGGAAATCCTGGGTTTTCTTCTTCGGCTCTTCTGTATTATTTCAGAAATGTCCCCACCAGAAAAACCTGTCAAGGTCGTGGTTGAATGCAGGTTTAACTTGATTCTCTGGCCAATTTTCCTTCTTATCATCAGTACCTACTTGCCACCTAAAGCATTGTTCTGTTTTCTCCATATTGAAAAAACAAATGCTTTTCAAATGCTGAAACAAACAAGTATGGAGTTAAAAGGGTCCTCACCCCAGATAGGTGAATGGGTCAATGGGCAGAAGAAATGTAGGGACCATATGACTGATTCGTGATGAAATGTGCTAACTTGAAATTTGGTACCAGATAAAATCTGGTAAGAGATTCTTTAAATGGTACAAGAGAGCCGCTAAACTTGCTCTAGGTCCCAAAATTTCTCAACACGAGTGGTGAAGGTGATTTCTATTTTTAGATAAACTGAGTTTGGAATTGGTGGGGGGGATAAATAGGTCTGTGTTATCTTTGACTTTAGATTTGTGATTTTAGGAGGTGAAAGAGTCATCGAAGGAGCCATCTCGTTCAGATGTGTGGTCTTAAAGATTCAGGAATTGAAACATAATTGGTAGATTCCAAGACTGTGTTTTTATTAGTTCATTGAATTAGTTCAAATTGAATCGTCAAGATGTTAGACTGTTAACCCTATATCAAGCATATGTATATAGTCAGTTTTCTTATGTCTGATAGTTGGCCATAAGTTTGGATTTTAATAACGTAAAATTTAGTCTCCTTTACTTTGATTCATCTGCCTCAGGAATATGTCTTCTGCTCTGCAGGTGCCTTATCGCTTGCATGCTGTTCTTGTTCATGAAGGGCAAGCAAACGCTGGACACTACTGGGCCTATATCTATAATCAACCCCGACAAGTCTGGCTCAAGTACAATGACATCTCTGTTACTGAATCTTCCTGGGAAGAACTTGAAAGAGATTCTTATGGGGGCCTGAGAAATGTTAGTGCTTACTGTCTGATGTACATTAACGACCAGCTACCGCACTTCAATGCAGGTAAAAATAGCCTAGTGGAAGCCAGAGATGGGGAAAATCTCTCCTGCTCACAGAAGGGAATGCTCTTGTAGCTTTTTAAAAAAAAAATTTAAACTAGAATTTATTTTAAAATAATATTTCATTTTAAAAATATAGTATAAAAGAGAATTAAAAAAAAATGTTTGCTTTCCTGCTCCCATCCTGGAGCTTGGCATGTATTCATTCTTACGTTTCTTAGGGAGTATTCAGGAATTATTCTGGGCAGATGCTAAATTTTATTTATCAATATCTATCCCTGCCCCATTTTTTCCCCCAAATGGGATATTTTTCCATTCTGTCCTGCATTTTTTCATCACTCATGTGTATTAATGATCTCTGTAGTTTTTTTGTTTTTTGTTTTTTTTTAAAGATTTTATTTATTTATTTGATAGAGACACAGCGAGAGAGGGAACACAAGCAGGGGGAGTGGGAGAGGGAGAAGCAGGCTTCCCGCTGAGCAGGGAGCCCGATGTAGGGCTCGATCCCAGGACCCTGGGATCTTGACCTGAGCCGAAGGCAGACGCTTAATGACTGAGCCACCCAGTGATCTCTGTAGTTTTATAAATAGAACCAACTCATTCTTTTTAACAACTGTATCATAATTCCATTGCATGGAATATGTATATAATTTATTAAACCAGCCTCCCATTGATAGACTTTTACGTTGTCTCTAGTTGTTTTTTTTTTTTTTTCAGTGACATCCTTGTGCATGTTTTTGCACCCTTTGAGAATAGCTGAATTTTACAAGTGGCTTTGCCTGAACAATTGCATCCTTCTCACAATACTACTAATTCTGAGAGCAATCATCATTATCATTTATATTGGAACTTTACTCCTTACTACAGACTTTCAAACTTTATTTCTCTAATAACTTATAACTCTAAAAGACAGGGTAGGAATTATTACCTACGTGTGCCGGCTGAGGTACTCCACTCATCCGGAGTCATACAGCCAGGGAATAAACGGCAAACCCAGGAGTCAGACCCAGTTCTGACTCCCAATTCTGTGTTGTCCATTTACATCATTCTCTCTCTCTTCCTTTCACACTTCCTGGGTAGGTCTGATGACCAGCATTTCACATCTAAGATTGTGGAAGGCTTTTTCTTTTCCTGTTCGAACTGTACTGGGTTGAATAAGTAAGGAAACACAGACGGCATTTTGTCCAGGCAGTGTGTTGTCTTTCTGATCTGCTGCTGTGGCCGGGGGACGGGGGGTAGGCAGAGTGATCACTTAGCAGTAACTAATCCTCCTAGTTGCATCTCTGCCATGCCCGAGCAGGGACAGCTGCCTGTGGAAGTTGTACAAATGACCAGACTGTTGTTGATAGGACACAGGAGCCTTGGTAGGACACATATGCCTCATTTTTATCCTACACAAAAAGATAAACGGAAACTGTCATTTGCTTAACGAAAAGACTAATTAAAGGCACCCAGGAAGTGGATATGTTGTTCTACTGTAGGCTTCTTTTTCTGATTTGGTCACAGGCTTAGAAATGAAATTTAGGGGCGCCTGGGTGGCTTGGTCGGAGGAGCATGCGACTCTTGATCTTGGGGTCGTGAGTTCGAGCCCCACGTTTGGTGTAGCGATAACTTAAAAATAAAATCTTAAAAAAAAAAAAAGAGATTTCATATGTCCTTGATATCCTTGTCATTTTTCATCCAGACCTTTAATTATCCCCCAGGTATCATTTACCATCTAACTGTTGTATCACATTGCTTTCTGCTTGCACTCACTGGTGTGGAACTTGAGGAGGTATAAATGTCTTGGAATTCATCTCTCACCATCTTGAGATGGATATTCTTATCAGTAACAGTTGTAGTGGTTACATTGATAAAACCGTTCAACTTGGAATTTCCATTGGATCTAATGATTTTCTGGATTTCCAAATGTTTGGTCAGTTCTTGCTGTTTTGCCAGTGATTGGCCTCTATTCCAAATCCCTGCTTTCTGTTAATCATTTGTTCATTCGTTCATTCATTCATTCATTCAATAGATACTCCATGTGTACCTACCTGCTAATCTGCCAGGCACTGTTAGTGGTGTGTTATGACTGTTGGCTTTACATTGTCATTACTTCTGATGGGTTATGTATATACGTATTTTTCACATGGAGCAAGAAAAAGGACAGAGTGTCTTATTTCCTTCTTTCTAGAAAGGACCTTCTGATTCCGTGTGACCTTTTGCTGGATGGTGCTGCATTTTCACTCTTTGTTCTTGTCTCAGAGGTAGCCCCAAGCGAATCAGATCAGATGTTGGGAGAAGTGGATGGCCTGTCTGTTGAACTGAAGCATTACATTCAGGAAGATAACTGGAGGTTTGAGCAGGAAGTCGAGGAGTGGGAAGAAGAGCAGTCTTGCAAAATCCCTCAAATGGAATCCTCCACGAGCTCAGCATCCCAGGATTTCTCTCCATCCCCAGGTACCCCGGGGTGGGGCACGCCAGCACGCCTACGGTCCGGTAGCCTCCACTCTGCCCTCCCTCAGCCAGCCGTGGCGCCTCAGCTGAGGGAGGGGTGCCGCAGAGCACGACGTGTGGTTCAGGTGAGCTGGCGTTGCAACGCTGACGGAATAGCTTGTGGCTTTCGGATGTCTTTGCTGATGAGCAGAAGCGGCATCGGCAAGACCGGCTCCCTGTCCTTTCCGTCTGTTAGTTTCCACGGTTTCCCAGGTCGTAGGAGAAGCTATGCTAGGATGAGTAAGTAGACTCTATGAAAACTGTTCTCCAAAGACCATCTTCCTAACAGAAGGCCGTTTGTAGGAAGTCTGAAGAAATTGGACAAAGTGGGAGCACATTAAACTTTCTGGAGCCATCAGTGGGTTCCTGCTGAAGCAGACGTGTCTTCGAGTCACTCATTTCTACGGGACGTTTGCACAGATTCTGTTTTAAGAGTTTGTTAGAAGCGTTGTAGATGAAACTTTGTGTCTGTCTTGCAGACACACTCTGACAGAGTGTTCTAGACGTTGTTTATCATCAGACGCTAATCCCTTTGTACCATTCCTTATCAGAGCCTTCAGCAACCGCCTCGCACGGGGTCCGCTGCTTGGCGTCGGAGCACGCTGTGATTGTCAAGGAGCAGACGGCGCAGGCCATCGCGAACAGCGCGCACGCCTACGAGAGGAGCGGCGTGGAGGCGGCGCTGAGCGAGGTGACAGAGCCGAGCAGTGACCGCCAGTTTCTCACCTTTTCGTGATTCTGTGTCTCTGCTGCATTTAACTGGTCCCTCTTTCTTTCTCCTGTTTTTTCTTACTCTTTCTCTCCATTCTGCTGCCGCAGCTTAAAGAAGCTGAACCCAGGAAGCCCATGCCCCCGGAAACAAACCTTGCAGAGCATTCAGAGCAGGCCCCGAAGGCGAAGGACGCAGAGTCTGCCGCCCCGCCTAATTCTGAGGCCTCTGAAGTCGAGATTCCCAGTGTGGGAAGGATTCTGGTTAGATCTGATGCAGATGGATATGATGAGGAGGTACACAGATGAGTGCAGGATTCAGCTGTCTCCGGTCTTCTCTTTCCTTCCCATGTGACCCAATATACTTGTCGAGGGTGTCTGGCAATAGTTAATATTGGAACAAATAAGGAACAAGAGGGCCTATCTGGTTTTGACCTTAGTTACCATTTTGTAAAAGATTGCCTTGTTCCCACCGTATGCTGCCCCCCGGTGTCTGTCTACCCAGGTGGGATCCTGCTGGAGGCACCTTAGAGTCTAGGTGGCTCAGAAAGGTAGCACTTAGTTCCTCTCTTGGTATTATGAGCAACAACAACAACAACAAAAGTGCCTTTTAAATAAGGAGCCTTTGTCTTTGGTAATATTAGTCCATTGTTTTCCCTCCAAATCTAAAATTTTCAGTTGTCTGGTGAGCAAAACAAATGTGAATTGAAGTTGTTTTTAATTATCAAGCTTCCGGAAGAAGCTGTGGGATCCCAAGTTACTCATGGTCGGTCCCCCTGGCACCGCACATCACAGTCACGAATCCTGCCCCTCAGGGTTCTGTTTCTTGCTGTGGGATATTTTTTTTTCCAAATCATTGAGCAGTTTTGATTTTATAAAATCATATTTGTATACCGCCTAATTTCCAGACTGTTAAATGGACTGATCATTTTAGTAAAACTCTAGAATACTTGTGTCCTAGGATATACAGCCAAATTACAGAACTCCATTGGGGTTCTCACCATGGACACTTCCCCTGGGAGAGCTATCATTTAACTTGATTCTTCAGCAGTGCCGTTTGTAAATATTCTCAGATGTCCCTCTTTATTTATCTGCTAAATTAGAATATGTAGGAACAGCTCTTCTTGGGCAAGGTCTGGCCAGGGTGCACAGGGACGGGGCTGTGGGTGTGCGTGGGGGCAGGTGTGTGAATCTGAGCTGGCAGCAGATGCCGGCCACGGGCACACGGCCACTCTTGCTTTCAGCAGCCCACTCGCCTTCCTTCCGTTCAGTCTTCTTTTGAACTTTTCTTCTCTCCTTTTTCTTTCTGTGTTTTGTGCCTTCCTGTGGTAGGTGATGCTGAGCCCCGCCATGCAAGGGGTCATCCTGGCCATAGCTAAAGCCCGCCAGACCTTTGACCGAGATGGGTCTGAAGCAGGGCTGATTAAGGTATCTCTTTTTAAAAATCTAATCCTTATACCACAGGTAATATAGTAATGGGGACATAATTTTATTAGATGGTTAAAAAAAAAAAGGGGGGAATGAAGAATGTTTCTCTTTAAAGTAACACCTAAAACTGTTTCCGTTCAAACTGATGGGTGGGACAGGCCCTCCCACGATACCGACAGCACCTCCCCTCGGGGCTAACACAGCATTTGCGAGCTATGCCGAACTATGTTAGGCCTGGCCTGGAGGGCTGGCTGTTGTCCTTAGGAAATCTCTATTAATAAAGCTGGGAACGAGACATTGCCTTTATAGTTTGGGAGCCATAATACAAGAAAGTAGGCCATGCTTTTTAAGCTACCTGAATAAAATTTAAGGTACTTGCATAAGTTGCATTTATGTGCATTTAAAAAATGCAGGTCCTTGGGACTCAAGGATACTAATTAAAACTAAATATTTGTTTTTCTTAGAGCCTTATGAGAAAAACGAATTTCTCACAAGGGCAGTACGTCTTAGGCGCCACAGGAGTTCTGTCCCTTATGAAATGCAAACAACATAGGGATTCCTTGGTTTCCTCTGTAATTCCCCGATACGCGTTTCTTAGAAGCCTCCTTGGAGTTAAGAGAACCTCTCTAGCCCGTAGGCGTCAGGTTCTGGGAGCAGAACCCCCAGCGCGCCCCTTTCGGACCGTCAGTCTTGTTCTTACCAGGCGTTCCATGAAGAATACTCCAGGCTCCACCGGCTTGCCAAAGAGACGCCCGCTTCACACAGCGACCCTCGGCTCCAGCACGTGCTAGTCTACTTTTTCCAAAATGAAGCGCCCAAAAGAGTAGTAGAACGGACCCTCCTGGAACAGTTTGCAGATAAAAATCTTAGCTATGATGAAAGGTGAGACAGGAATGCTCAGGCGCATTGCCCGCTGCTTCTGGGTCGGGCCCAGGGACCTCAGGGAGCCTTTGTCTTTGGTAATATTAGTCCATTGTTTTTCCTCCAAATCTAAAATTTTCAGTTGTAATGGGAAATTGGTTGGGAAAGCGGTTCCTTGGACCTCTCACTGCTTTCTGGCCCTTGTCCCCCACAGATCCATCAGCATCATGAAGGTGGCTCAAGCTAAACTGAAGGAGATTGGTCCAGATGACATGAATATGGAAGAGTACAAGGTGAAGTCTTTTCCTTAAGTCTACAAAACAAAAACATTAATACTTTTTTTAAAAATTTTTTTATTGTTATGTTAATCACCATACATTACATCATTAATTTTTGATGTAGTGTTCCATGATGCATTGTTTGTGCATAACACCCAGTGCTCCATGCAGAACGTGCCCTCTTTAATACCCATCACCAGGCTAACCCATCCCCCCACCCCCTCCCCTCTAGAACCCTCAATTTGTTTCTCAGAGTCCATCGTCTCTCATGGTTCGTCTCCCCCTCCGATTTCCCCCCCTTCATTCTTCCCCTCTTGCTATCTTCTTAACATATATTGCATTATTTTTTTTTTAAAGATTTTATTTATTTATTTGACAGAGAGAGAGCGAGAGCAGGAACAGAAGCAGGGGGAGTGGGAGAGGGAGAAGCAGGCTTCCCGCCGAGCAGGGAGCCCAATGTGGGACTCGATCCCAGGACCCTGGGATCATGACCTGAGCCGAAGGCAGACGTTTAACGACTGAGCCACCCAGGCGCCCCAACATATATTGCATTATTAAAAACGTTAATTCTTAAGGCCAAACTAACAGTTTTGCGTTATCGCAGACTGACCGCCCCCTGCCCCACCCCCCAAATAAGTAATTGGGTGAGAAGAGATAAATGATCTTTTCTGACCCTCAGAATAACCAGTTTCTTTGTTTCATTCTTCTATTAGAATAAATGAACACTTTATTTCCTTTTAATACCTACTTTGGCCTTGTACCTAGGCAATCAAATTCTTGATTCATGGTTTTGGTTTGTTTGAAAATAATATTGTTTTCTGGGGCGCCTGGGTGGCTCAGTCATTAAGCGTCTGCCTTCAGCTCAGGTCATGATCCCAGGGTCCTGGGATCGAGCCCCACATCGGGCTTCCTGCTCTGCGGGGAGCCTGCTTCTCCCTCTCCCACTGCTTGTGTTCCCTCTCTCGCTGTGTCTCTCTCTGTCAAATAAATAAATAAAATCTTTAAAAAAAAAAAAATATTGTTTTCAAATAATTCTACATTTGAAATGAAATCTCTGTGCATTAAAATGCATATTTAACTACAAATTTCCAAAAAAAGCATTGTGTTAGAAGTAACACAGTGCTCTGTGACACCTGGGTGTGCCCACAGCACCTGCCGAGCTGAGTGCTGTTCTGGGTGATTGGAACAGCCTTGTCCTTCCATGTTCCCTGCATGTGCATGGTTTTGTGAGACCTTGACAGTCATCTGTTTAAACCAGAGCTGCATGACTTTGACAGGGGTGTTGGAAATTAAGATGATACATTCCAAAGCTCACGTGAAATAAGTATTTCTGTTCCTCAGTGGAAGTAACAGGTTACTGAAAATTAAGGTCAGGAGTGGACTTTGATCGTAAATGGTGAATACATCATTATTGAAAAGCTTTTGTGTTTGTGGTTTTTGTGCGTGATAAGCATTTGTATGGAGCATACAACTGACCGCAGTGGGAAGTATAGAAATAGTTTATGGTGACCATAATCGCTAATGGCATTCATTCCTTTTCAGAAGTGGCACGAAGATTATAGTTTGTTTCGAAAGGTGTCTGTGTATCTCCTCACAGGCCTGGAACTCTACCAAAAAGGAAAGTATGTGGGCCTTTTCTGTCTCTTGGATTATTGGTCAGGGCACTGTTAACTCCTGATGCCCAGCCGGGAATACTGACAACCATAGCCGTGCATGTCCCCCCGCACCGTCCCCACACACCAGGGCGCCTCTGCATTTCCCACTCTTTCACGAAGCATCGCACGTGGTTTTTCATCCTTCATGTAGTGATAGATATGGTGATAACGATATGTAACGGCCAGATTTTCCTTGTGATAAGTGAAGATGAACCCAGGAAATAAATTTTAGAGTTGTGATGGACCTTAGTAAGCACGCAGTCCCCTTCTTTGGTTTAGGGTTGAGGAAAACGGAAGCGCAGGGAAGTTTCATGATTCGCTTTGGGTTCCTTGACCAGTTTGCAAAAGAGCTGAGAGTGGCCTCCGTCTTTGGCCCTCAGGCTTTTCCCAGCGCACCGCGCTGCTTCTGTCCTCAGGACCTTTCCATAATTGCAGCCTTGCAAACGTTTGTACTGGGGGACAGAGAGGTCAAAGCCCTCAATTGATCTACCGTTTTCTCAGGTACCAAGAGGCACTCTCCTACCTGGTCTATGCCTACCAGAGCAATGCCGCTCTGCTGATGAAGGGGCCCCGCCGCGGGGTGAAGGAATCGGTCATCGCTTTGTACCGAAGAAAATGCCTTCTGGTGTGTACTCTTTGTGGAGCTTTATGATTTGTATTAGTTTATTGTCTTCACCTCTGTCCCTTGAAGGCACAAAGAAATAGAGCTTAAAAAAACAGAATAATCCTCAATAGGTTTTAAGATTTTTCTAGACTCTTAAGAGTAGTTGTACATTGAAACAAATGATTTTAAGTTACTCAAATGAGTATCATTCTTCTTCGACCCCTGACAGAAGTTAGGATGAGAATCAATTACCCCTTTACCTTTGTGTATACTTGCATATCTCTACTGGGTCGTGAGTTCCTTGAGCACAGACACTTTTCCTCTTCCGCTGTTTTCTCTGCGCCTGGCACCTCGTAAGCATGCAACAGATATGTGTTGAAGGGATGCAGTGTTTTTTTCTGTGTTCTGTGCAGTGTTCCGTGCTAAGCTAGTAGATGAGAATTTTAGCGACTCTGGAGGGACTCCAGTGTTTTTTTCTTTTTTTAAATGGTATAAACCATAAGTATTGGTCCTGCTGTTCTGTTAATATCACTGTCGTACAACGCTGAAGGTCTAGCCTGGCCTCTTTTGCATTTGGCAGTCCTGGGGAATGACAGACCCCTGCCCCTCGGCCTGTCCGAGGGTTTATACAGGTGCTTGTCCTTCGGAAAACTGCAGAGAGCTGGCTTGCCCTCAGACCGTGAGCCTCCCAGCAGGATTGCCCGTCCTGGGAAGAGTCCAGCCAGCATTTCTGCCACTGCCTTTGCTAATACCAAATGGAGGAGGTTAAGTCATGACATATATTTGCCTCAAAAGCTTCATTTTCAGATGTATCCCTTGATTTCTGTATCAGTTATAGGGTGTGGCAGGGCATTTTGAAGCTGAAAAGAGGGCCTTGTAGTTTGATGGATCTGAATTTTATTATGCTTTAAATCACCAAGTACAGATTACATTCTGAATGTCCTGCTCGTCTTCCACCGGTCGGTGGTAATGGTGACTTATGGCTCTTCCCATCAATGGCTCGCAACCCCCCATGTGTGTGAGAGTCACTCGGGAGCTTTCACACTGAGGCGACTCCTCCCCAGACTGTCAGACCAGAGGCTCTGGGGAGGGGCCTGGGCATCAGCGTATCTTCTGCAGGTGATTCCGATGCTCAGTGGAGATTGAGAGCCATTGAATAAGGCTTTCGGTAGACGCAAGTGGTAGGCAAGACCTTGACTTGTAAGTTTAGGGAAGTGGGTCACAGACTTTGCTGCATTAGAATCACCTTTGGGAGCTTTTTTACAAAAATCCCAGTGCCCCGGTCACCTGCATACCAATCAAATCAGCATGTCTCGGGTGGGGGGCATCAGTAGTTTGTAAAGTTTCCCAGGCTACATGGGAAATTTGGGGAACCACTTGTCTAGGCTCTTCTAAAATAGGTATTTATCTTTTTCAGACTGTTTTTCCCCCCCTCTGCTTTTTACCTGTAGGAGCTGAATGCCAAAGCAGCTTCTCTCTTTGAAACAAACGATGACCACTCTGTAACTGAGGGCATTAATGTGATGAATGAGTTGATCATTCCCTGCATTCACCTTATCATTAATAATGACATCTCCAAGGATGACCTCCATGCCATTGAGATCATGAGAAACCATTGGTGCTCTTACCTTGGGCAAGATATCGCTGGTATGTTGTTGGCACTTTGCAATATCTACAGCTCTTCAGACTTTAGAAATGACAGTGTTTTCACTCTATAGCACTGGTTATCCAACCTTTTTTAAAGGCTTACTGAAGCAACCTTTTTAAAGGCTTACTGAGTGGATCTGCTCTACTGAAATAAGGGATAGGATCCTGGCCCTCTGTCCCTCTCAGCCTCCCCTTACCTCCTCTCCGGCTGCTGAAGCACCCACACAGAGAGCCTGCAAGCCCTGTTTGACAAACTATTCCTCTCCGGGAATGTCAGACTTGCCTTACCTTTTCATCTGTCAAAATCTGGACTCTGTAGCTTAGAAATCAAAGTCTGTTTATGATGTTTGATTACCTGGTGGTGCCATAACTAAATTTTCCCATGACTTGAAGGTGCAAGGCAGAACACCTCTTATTAACTGTGATGCCCTCACGGTTCATAAAATGGTAAATGGAATTGCCTAGCTTGTCCAAAGGATTTTGAAGAGGAAGCCTAAAACTAGTCATTTTTAGGTGAATTCTGGTAGCCTTAGAAAGTTGGTGTATGTTCTAATATGAAGCCTCTTTGTTAGTTTCTCACTGATGTAAAGATGTTGTATCGACTTGTTATTCATGTTTATAATATTAATGGAAAATCCTATACTTAATAGTTATGAATTTCCTTTTAATGTCTTCAGTTTTCCTTTAGACTATGTGTGATGTATAGTTGTACTTACAATGCCATGCATACACACTCGTGTGTTTTGATCATAGAAAGGAAATAGCACCATTATATTTATGGCAGAGAGTATCTTATCCACTTTCTCAAGTTTTAAAAGGATGATAGATTAGAAGGCCTGTCAGTGAAATGAATATTTAATGTTATCCTGCCACACATCACATGGTTTAAAGCAGGGACCTAACATTTTGGTTTATTTGGCAAGGAGTCTTTGCTCCTGGTTTGGGCTGAAGGAATCATCATTTGTTGTTCGCTGGTCAGCCCAGTGCCTTGACCTTTGAAGTTGGGGAATGAATGGCTCTATGGAAGGCCTTCCCGTTACAGTTGCAGACTTCACTGGTTTTTACTCAGAACTGTTTAGCTGTATATGTAACCATCCATTTTCCCTCCACAGAAAATCTACAGCTGTGCTTAGGAGAGTTTCTACCCAGGCTTCTGGATCCTTCTGCAGAAATCATTGTCCTGAAGGAGCCTCCGACCATTCGGCCCAATTCTCCCTATGACCTTTGTAGCCGATTTGCAGCTGTCATGGAGTCAATTCAGGGGGTTTCCACTGTGACAGTAAAATAAGCCCCCACACGGTCAAGGCCCAGTTTGGTCTGAGGCCGCCTGCCTGTTGTACAGAAGTCTGTTGTCACAGTGTTTCCCCTGGGGGAAGGGGTTAGGTGGGAAAGTAAGATTCAGATCCAGTCCCCAACCATGCTAAAGAAGGATTGAAAATAAAATTGCACTTTTTAGGTACAGAATCAGAAAAGCAATTTCGCTAAAAAAGACAAGAACCGTTGTGTGTTAAGCTATTGAATTATGTCAGAAGACCTGAAATGCCCCTTGTACCTGCAAGAGTGCTTGGGCTTTGGTAGGCCTCTTACTGCTTTTAAAATTATCCTTCAGGCATAAGTATTTTTGACAGTGGAATAGAAGGGTGATCCATCAGAACCTGAGCCAGATGAACAGCTACTAGTTATTTTATCAAATACAGGTGACATTTAAAAGTTCTTAACTGCAAGAGATGAGACATCTAAACCTCTGCCGGTGTCTTGACAGGAGATGACAATGGGTTGCTGATGAACTGCCGCCCTTTTACATGTGGGTAGAAATATAAGGGCACGTGGCAGCAAGATGCTGCAAAGTCAAAAGAAAGCTGCCTTTCCTCTCCTCTCTCTCTCTCTCTCTCTTATTTTATATTTTTAAATAAACCAGAAAAACCTCACACTCAGTCCTGAGTGAAAGAAAGCAAAGCACTAAGGACCGCAGACGGAACGGCATTGTGAAACGTGATCGAGACAGGATAGCGTTGTGAGAGTTGTTCACCATTTCAGTAAAATCTTCTAGCATCCGAAAATTGTCAACAACAGATGTCTAAGGCTGCTGCTGGCCCGAAAGAACATTTGGATGCCCCTCCCCTTTTTTTTTTGCTTTGGAAAGAGAAGGGCTGTGGCTTTTGTAAAAAGAAAAAAATCTATCTATATATATGTATATGTAGAGAGAGAAATATCCCCTGTTGACCATTTTTAAAAGGCTCCAGATTGGATATTGTGTTTTAACCAAATTTTAACGTGAATGAGGGAATAGTGGGCGGGAAGAACACTTGATACAACTATGCAGATTTTATAAATGTGCAATAAAAGTATTTGTTGTACCTTTGGTGTGCGGTAAGGCGTTCATTTAAACACATATTTTCCGGGAATAGGTGGACTCAGTAAGCATTTGTCATGTTTCAATTATGGTGACTATCATAACATAATAAAAAAAATTATAAAAAAATAATAAGAAAAGAAAAAAGCAGATGAAAGGTTTGAGAACCTTGTTGGGGGAGAAGTGACTCTTGAGCAGCACCTAGTGGTGACTGGTGTCTTCCATCCCATGTGCTAGTTGCACTGCATGTGAGTATACCTACTTTGTAATTTGTAGAATTTTCTTTTTTTTAATTTTATTTATTTACGTGACACAGGGAGAGCACAAGCAGGAGAGCGGGAGGCAGAGGGAGAGGGAGAAGCAGGCTCCCTGTAGGGGCTCCATCCCAGGACCCCGGGATCATGACCTGAGTTGAAGGCAGACACTTAACCAACTGAGCCACCCAGGGGCCCCTGTAATTTGTAGAATTTAGAAGGGGAAAAAATTACTCTCTTAAGACGGACTTTCTTATATTTTGACTAAATTAGTAGTAGACCATCTTTTACAGAATTTCAGAAGTGCTTTGTGTTTCAAAGCTCACTGCAGAGGTAATTGTTTCATGGGAAATTGATCAGTTTTCTTGCCATTGGTTTGCTGTACTGCTTAAGCTTCCGAGGACCACCATTTGCAGTTCCCTTTTTAATCTCTGTCATTATTGAGTACTGTGCACAGTTATATTATTTCACTTAACGTAACAGCCCTGGGGTGATGGTGGGACTGGTTTGTCCAAGGTCCTAGATGTTTTAAGTAGTGAAGCCAGGATGCTAACTCTTGGTAATTTCTCTGCATAGCCTTTTAACAACTGCTCAGCTGCCTTTTGGTAGTTTTGCAAAATCTTTTGCATTGTGCCTTTCCACATTTGTCACTTCCTGGTCAGCTGTTGGGGATCTATAGTTGACCAAGAAAGGAACAGATGGACATTTGTATGTGTGGCGTTGGGTACTTTCATTTGGATTCACTCAAGTCACCAGGTGGAGTACTGAGAAGTCATTTCTTTGTCCTCACATTTGCTGGCTGCTTTAGGTACAGCCTCGTTTCTTAAGGGGTCCACAAACTGCCTCAGGCTAAGCATGGTTTTCGTGTGTTTAAAGGATTGTGAAAAAGGAGGATGAGGGTGGGGGGTGGGAGGCTGGGCTGGGGGTGGGTAGTGTGGGGGGGAATAAACCTACGTGACTCAACCTAAAATGTTTCAAGGGTTTGGTCAGGGCACTTGACCTCAGCATAAATTCCCTTGACACTGGGTTTAGACTTTCTGTAGTTTGCTGGAATCGCCACCTGCTTCTGTTTGGATTTGTTAGCTCCTTTAAGAACTCTAAGCCATATAAACTCATTTTTACCCTACCTGCTTCAAGAAAGAAGTGGGAAGTAGACACATAACAACAGTTTAGATAATGAATGAACCGGAGGCAAGGCCTGAATGAAGACTGATGAAGCAGAGCTGGGATAGAAGGGGCGATTCACTGTATCTTAGTTTAGCCATTTTCATTGCTTGTTACTGTTCTTTCTTTGTATGACTGTACCTTACAATTTATTCTGCTAATTGTCATTTGAACTCTTTCCAGTTTTTGGCTACTACCCATAATGCTGCTAGGAGCATTCATGTGCGTGCGTTTCGATGCTCATGCGAGTGCATTTCTGTTGGCATGGAACTGTGAGCGGGATTGCTGGGTCACAGGGATAGAGGGCTGTGTTTTTACCAGGCACTGCCTCACAGTTTCCCAATGCAGTTATACCAACTGAACCAGCCCCCCCCCCCCCGCCCGGGGCAGTTTATGAGCTCCAGTTGCCCCTTATCCTTGTCAAGATTTGGTTTTGTCAGTATTTTTAATCTTAGCCATTATGGCTGATGCGTGAAACTGTTTTAATTTGGACTTGCCCACTAACGACGTGGAGCATCTCTTCATATGCTTATTGGCTTGGGCTATTCTCTTTTGTGAAATACCTACTTAAGTCTTTTGCCGACTCTTTTGTTGGATTTACTGTCTTGCTATGTATTGATATGTAAGGGTTTTAAAAAATAGCCGGTTTCGGAAACTTTTTTGGTTATAGGCATTGCATAGATCTTCTCGCCCTCTGGCTTTTCGCTCCTGATGGCTTGATGAAAACAATTTTTTAATGTTAATGTAGTCTAATTGACTCGTTCTTTTCCTTCACGGGTAGTGCTTATTGTGCCCTGTTGAGGAGATCATTATCCAAGGTCAAGAAGACATTCTGTGTAATCTCCCAGAAGCTTTGCTTTTTGACCCTTCCTGTTGAGCTGATGGACCCAGCACCATTTATTGTCTTTTTCCCAGTGCTGTTCCTTTGGCATAAATCGAGTGTCTATGTAGGGGTCTACTTCTGGGCCCTTTTGTTTGTTCCATGAGTATGTTTGTCTACTCTTACCAATATCACACTGTCTTAATTCGTGTAGCTTTATCAGTCTTGATTTCCAGTACAATAAATCTGTCCAGTTTTGAACGTCCTCAAGATCATCTTGTCTAGGGGTACCTGGGTGGCTCAGTTGGTTAAGCGACTGCCTTTGGCTCAGGTCATGATCCTGGAGTCCCAGGATCGAGTCCCGCATCGGGCTCCCTGCTCAGCAGGGAGTCTGCTTCTCCCTCTGACCCTCCCCCCTCTCATGTGCTCTCTCTATCTCATTCTCTCTCTCAAATAAAATCTTAAAAAAAAAAAAAGATCATCTTGTCTATTCTTAATCTTTTGTATTGTCCTATAAATTTTGGAATCAGTTCATCAGTTTCACACACACACAGATTTCTGGGGATTTTGATTAGGTTTACAGTGACTATAGATAATTTGGAGAGAATTGACATCTTCTAATTTAGGAACACAATATAGCCTGTTTATGTAGGTTTTCTTTAATTTCTTTACAAAATTCTTCCATATCGTTCATAAATCGATTCCTAGATCTTTGATGTTTTTCAAGCTATTGTAAATGTTATCATTTTTGGAATTACATTTTTAATTGTTTGTTGCTGGTATCTAGAAAAATGTGCTCACTTCAGCAGCACATACACTAAAATTGGAACAATACAGAGAAGAATATCATGGCCCCTGCACAAGGATGAGACAAATTTGAGAACGAAATCGATGTTTTTATATCAACTCTGTATCCAATGACATTGATAAGTTCACTTACTAATTCTAATAGTTGATCAGTAGTTTTTAATATTTTCTCTATGCATAATTATGTTATCTGTGAATGATGACTTTTAGTTCTTTATTGCAAGTCCTTGCAACATTTATTTTTCGTGCCTGATCACACGCAAGGGCGTCTGATACAATGCTGAATAGAAGTGGTGATGATGGGCATCTTTGTCCCCTAATATCAGGGAGGAAAGTTTTCAATATTTCACCATTAAGTATGCTGTAGGCTTTTTGTAAATTCCATTTATTATATAAGTGATGATTCTATTCCTATTCTGCAAAGAGTTTTTTAAAAATTATGAATGGATGTTGAAATTAATCAAATACTTTCTCTATATCTATTAGAATGATTACATAGGTCTTCCCTTTTTTCTGTTCATGTGTGAATTACATTTATTAATTTTAAATGTTAAGCCAACCATGTGTTGCCAAAATATACTGATCATGGTATTTTTATATGTACATGGAATTTTTCATATTTTTAGGATTTTTGCATGTATATTTATGAGAGAGATTGGCCTTTTCTTATTATGTCCTTATCATGGTTTTGGTATTAAGGTTATTCTGGCCTTAGTGAATGAATTGGGAAATATTCTCTCATTTTCTGTGCTCTGGAAGAGTTTGGATAAGATAGGAATATTTCTTCCTTAATGTCTGAAAGAATTCATTTTTGAAATCATCTGAGCTTAGAATTGTGTGTTTTGTAGGCATGCTTTTCATTATGAATTCAGTTTCTTTCATACAGCATTTTCATATTTGGGTGGGTTACTTATGTGAATTTTGGAAATTATTGGACATTTGTCCATTTCATCTAAAACTTAAATTTTACTGGCAGAAAGTTCATAAGACCTCATGATTTTTCTTTTCTTTTCTTTTCTTTCTTTCTTCTTCTTTTTTTTAATGACCTTAGGATCTCCGATGTTCTAGTGATGTCTCTTTTCATTACTGATACTGGGTGACATGAATCTTTTTTCTGGTTAGTATTATCAGGGGTTTATTCGTCTTTTCAAAGAACTATATTTTGCTTTTGTTTGTTTGTCTTTTGTAAGATTTTATGGGTTTCTTTTTTTTTTTTTTTTTTTTTAAAGATTTTATTTATTTATTTGAGAGAGAGAATGAGAGAGAGCAAGCACATGAGAGGGGGGAGGGTCAGAGGGAGAAGCAGACTCCCTGCCGAGCAGGGAGCCCGATGTGGGACTCGATCCCGGGACTCCAGGATCATGACCTGAGCCGAAGGCAGTCGCCCAACCAACTGAGCCACCCAGGCGCCCCAGATTTTATGGGTTTCTTTTCCTGCTTTTTTTAATCCAAAGCTCTTCAGCAGTGGTTCTTAACTTTGGCTGCCAATCCAGAGTCAGCTGTGTCATTTAAAGAAAAAAAAACCAGCCACTGGGCTTCAACCCTGCAGATACTGACTTGTTAGATTTGAGCTGGGGCCCTGTTGTTCATGCTTAGAAGGTATCACAGGTGGATTTTGATGTACAGTCACAGCTGAGAGCTAGTCCTTCAAAGGACTTCTGTGCCTGCTAAGAAAATGGCTTTTACAACACACCCGAATTTGTGGGTTCACAAAAAGGCTGTAGAACCTCCTTCAGTGAGACTTCACAGGATTTCATCCTTTTTGAACTGCTATATTTTAATATTCCTCATGTAGCACTTGACTTTGATAGAGCTATAGAATAATGTATTTCTATATAATTCACCTTTAATTCCCATAAATACATCAGTTCCTTAAAGTCTGCACAAGCTGAACTCAGCTACTTGTCATTAAGTTACTTTTTTCTGAACCTTGAAAAAAATTCTCTACATTCTTCCTAA